TATGTATGTAAATGCATATTTGCACCTGTAATGGATATAGGACGGATCTAGCCTTGAAATGGACTTCTGTGCATCGTATACATTTGTATACATGTGTGTACTTCAAACATATTCAAATTGTGTCACCGAAATGCGATAGAGTTGTGGTGGTGTGGTGGGTGATTTTTGCCTTCTCTGTCAACCTTTTTTGACCACGCAGGTTGCATCGAATCGTCTCCAGGCAAGGGCAGTCTCACATGCAGGACTCCTTTGGATGCTGCAGATTAAGCAGAAGGGACATTGTTACCTGCACCAAGCCCCGTTCACAGGAACACTGAAATGGAGTTGAACGGAGAATCCCTTCAATACAAACATAACTCTCATAGATGTCAATTGACAGCGAGTGTCTACTCCAGGCAACAGTGTAAAGCATGGGGTGTTTCTTGAATCAATTTCTGAGTCCGCCGAAATGGTGACCACAAAAAACGACACTTGGCTCTGCAGCACCTGTCCGCCTTGCATGCTGAGCTATTGCTTGGGCCTAAAGCCCAGCTTACTCTGCTTTGCACGCCGTAAGCCCTACGTGTGCATGGCTGAAAGTGTCATCCAAAAGCTGCAAGTGCTGGCCTTGCGCTCTACAAATCAACGAATCGTCAATTTTAAAGTTTCACTATGGTTTCAGGCTTGCAAGTTTTGAGCCTGGGCGTTCTAGTGCCACTTTCCAGCCAGCATGACTACATCAAACTTGAGTTGAGTAGTAAAGCATCTCAGTCTCAAACCCTGTCTTTAGGGTGTCGAATCGATACAAAGCCATGGGAATTCTCGCATGAGAGCTGCCATCAAAGGGTTTTTGTGTTCAGCGCATTCGATTGTCACTAATTGGTTGCGGTGCTTTCTGGTGGCTTTCAAGAAATGTTCAGGTGGCTGTTGAGGAGTGCACCATATGCTGGAGCCAGTGTGTTTTCCCACAACACCTGCAACACCTGAACCATAAAGTATCGGATTCCCATGGTGAAGAAACTCGTCTGGGCACATTCAGCGCAAAGCATCTTTTCCTGGCAGTTCTCCCAATTCCAAGGACGCATGGGAGATCAAACAGATTGAAAATACCACCTGCTCCTGTTCAAACTTCGATTGGTACGTGGACTGTTTGCATCTGTTTGGAAGCTGGACATCTGGCAATGAACCTGCATCTTTCCGGCCTCAGCTAAGTGCCTCCAACCTTGGTGATTTGTGAAGTCCCCGGCTGTCGCTGTCAATGTGCTGTGTTACGACAACTTGGAGGGGTTTGCCATGGGGTGTCTCTTGATTCCATTCTTCACTTCCCTTCTTCACAGGGTTTAATCATTGGTAGAGTTCAGACATTGATCCTTTGGCATCGTCCTCTCCAGTGGCTAAAACATAATTGTTTGTGATGTTTCAGATGTTACATAGTATTGTAGATCGTTTAATTAATTTTGGTTCCTGTCCACTTCAAGATCTTCTTATAAATACGTTATGATGAAATTGGACCATGTCTCAGGTTGGACTCTTTCAAACATTTCTTCAGCTGCTTGTTTTCTCCTCTGTGCCCAGACTGCGGAACTGCCTCTGAGTTTGCTGCTTTTCACTGGGCAATTTGTCCAGAATCACCATTGGGGGCAAGTCATCCATACCCATCTGCGCGTTTGGACACCCCGCTTCAAGCTGTCCAAAGAGTATTCCAAGAAGCAAACTGACCAAACCAATTTCCAACTTGTAGGTAACCGACATTCACAGAAATTCACAAATATTGTACAACTGGTTTACACATACTCTGTTGTACTTTTACCATCCGAATCTGTTTCCAAGATCCATGGCATCCACGGTGAATCTCTCGCTTCATGCTGCACCTCATCGGAAGCACCAGGCCTGGCCAAGTTGGGGCTGTGGTCCAAGGTGCGCACAGCAGATCCTTCACAGTTTCCGAGGTGTCTACAATATAACATGTCTGCGTGCGTGTGCTTGTATATATATATATACATCTATGTGTATATATATATATATATTTATTTATTTATTTATTTATTTAACCTGCAAAAGCATCTGATTCTTTTCCACAGAGGAAACTCAAATAGCTACAAATGGGAGGCACACACCTCACTATACAAAGGTATATACACGAATTACAACAATAGTTCTAAAAGTTCTCCACATACATCAACCGGTCGCACGAAAAGTGGTAACAAAGGTTGAGTAAAAAACCTCGATTAGGTTAAGCAGCCTCATGAGGCAAACGCATAGGGGGTTCGATCAACCTCCCATGGTGACCCCTGGAGCACGCAAAGGAAGAAAGGCGGTGAACAGGGGAAGGTGGAGGGTAAGAGAAGATGGCTACAGAGCACGTGCATGTTAAACACCCGTGTCATTCACTTAAAAGTTCACTTCACTCAAGTTATTAACCTGCAAAAGCATCTGATTCTTTTCCACAGAGGAAACTCAAATCGCTACAAATGGGAGGCACACACCTCACTATACAAAGGTATATACACGAATTACAACAATAGTTCTAAAAGTTCTCCACATACATCAACCGGTCGCACGAAAAGTGGTAACAAAGGTTGAGTAAAAAACCTCGATTAGGTTAAGCAGCCTCATGAGGCAAACGCATAGGGGGTTCGATCAACCTCCCATTTGTCCAACTTTAAGACCTGGGGTACCGGAAAACCGGAAAAAGAACTCCCATTCCCAGTGCTTATTTTTCTGTCGTAGACGCTTGAGTAGTGAGACCCCCTTTAAGGTCCACTTTCTGACTCGACGATGTTGTCGGGTCGACAAAAGAATTCGGCCATGGCAAGGGTGCCCTGATCCACGTACATACGTGCTGTACGGTTACAAGTCCATCGACCACGTTGTAGGGTGGCATCCATAGATGCCGTAGTCAAGAAATACCAAGTAGCACCTCCCCTTCTGATTCCGTACGGGGAGTAATCGGTGGCCGAAAACCCCAACGCCCCGAGGAGCGCATGCCAAAAAAGCCGAAATTGTCCAGGCGAAGACGCCCAAAGGAATTCTCTGGGGGCACGTGACGAAAGCACGGTGACAGCCAACGCATGCACAAATTTGTCCTCAAAGACAAGGACCTGAGGATTTCCCATGGAGGTCTTTGAAAAAGGGATAATCACAGTCAGCCTATGTGAGCGACTGTCAGGAATCAGGTAAAGGAACTGAAGGCCCAGCATCTCAGATGTTCTGAGAAAACAAAAGAAAGCCACATAGAGCATGAGGGCCACTGCTGGGTAGCCCAAAGTGAAACAAAGCCCTCCCATAGCTTGAAGGAGCTCCCAGCTTATAGGTATGGCCCGTTCAGGACGGTGAATCTTTTGCCAATTTCTGAAGTATTGGCTGGCCGTCGGCAAAGAAGGCCGCAGCCCGGGACAGAAGCGCTTTAGCCCCGACAGCAAGTGGCCTGCCTGGGCCAAACTGTCGCCCTCCTGAAAAAGGGCATTTATGTATTCACCCACCGCGAAGTCAAGTTGCTTCTGTGTGCGGAGGGGTAAGCCATGAATTCTGATGAAGGTGAGGAAGCGATCAACACTGAGACGATAGGCTCTCAATGTCCTCCCTTGCAGCCCAGCAAACCGGATGTGTCTACCCATCGCGGTGGGTCCGACGGCGCGAAGCACCGTCTGCGAAGTTCCATCTGGAGATTGTCCAAGCTGGCAAGGGATATTGGTCCGAGCCCATGGTAAAGGCAGCGGTCTGTTTGAGGAGCCTGTTCAGCCCCTTTGAGGGACTCCTCCCTTTGCTCACAGCCCCTCTTGTCACGAGGCTGTCGACCACCGCCAGATACCTCATCTCGTGCTTCGACGGGTCCTTGGCCCGCCTCTTCAGCATGATGTTGAACGCTGCCACCTCACCTTCGTTGATATGCCTTTCTTCTTTCCATGCATAACTCATGATTTCTTCCCAATACCACCGGTAGGCCGGGTAGGGAACCTCGAGGTTCTCTTCGCCCAGGTGGAGGCGCAGATCCGAACCTCGGATGCTCAATCTCTGCGCCATCTCGCGCAGGTGAATGGCCTCGTGGCCTGGGATCATGTTGGCCTCCAACTCCACCAGTTCGTTGGCGACCATGTTTGCCACCGCTGGAGCGCTCAGGCGAGAGGTAGACTTCTCCAACTCTTGTTGCAGCACCCTGCACCTTCCATCTTGGAGCGACCGTTGAATCCAGCCGTCCACTTGGCGCCTCAAGCCACGGGCGTACGCGTCACACCACTGCTGCTTGTATTCTGCCTCGTCCGCCGTGGCGTAACGCAGGCTTCCGTCAGCTTGCCGCTCGGCACCATACCCTCGTAGGCCTTCATGACCAGGACAGGTCGGGCGATGGAGCTCAGTCTGGATCTCCGGTGAATTGTTCAAAAGGGCGTACCACTTTTTCACGGTCGCCTCCCCAGCAGCAGTTGGACCCAACGGCATAGGTGAAGTCACGTTGAGTGAGTTCTCCCACCAGCGAGAACCACCACAGCCAACCATTGTAGGGGTGCTCCACCGTCAAATAGCGGCGTTCTCCGAAGGTACCGCGGCCACGGCGCAGCCCCCGCAAAGCCATGTTGTTGGACTTCCGCAGGTCGATCTTCATCTGGGTCGAAACCCACGGAAATCCCATCACATGGTGGGCATCACGGACGGGTTGAGGGCCAGGAATCGTTGACCCGTCTTCAAGAACCACCGGCCTTCCTCGGGCACGGGTGAAGAGCCGACACTCCGGGGCCCAATGTTCACAAGCCAGACAAGGATCCCCTTCAAGCTCGGCCAACTTGGACTTGCCCTGCTCCGAAAAGAAGTCGTCCCCACGGAGAAGGTCGTAAGGAGGCTGCACTTCTACCCCTCCTGTTCGTGCCACCGCGTGGGACAAAGGAGCGTTCGGCCCAGAGAAGCGCTCACCGAACTTGGGTACCGCATACAGCTTCCTGCGGCAATCACCAGCTCTGTGCTCATCGATGCACTTCAGGCTGCAGAGAATTGCACAACACCCCGCTGGGCAGGGGTAAATTCGGGGGGCTTCGAGGTCCCGCTCACACTGCTCACATCTTCGTCCATCGGGCTTGATCGTGTCCGGCGGTCTCTTGAATTGTCGCGACACACCAGCTCCTCCACCTGTTGGTGACGCATCTGTGATTGTGACTTCCTCAAAGACCGCGCGGAGGTTCATGAAAAGGACAGGGAGGAGTGCCATGGACATGTACACCTCGTCCACGGCATGCCGCGAGAGGGTGATTGGCCCCTTGATAGCCCGGCCGATCTCAACAAAGATCCTCTCCAAAAAGGACATGGCAGGGCGTCTGAAGGCCATAGCAAAAATCACTTTCCCAACAAAATGCCGCAACTCAAATTCTGTTGTTTTGCCGGACCCAAGCAAAGCCGCTCCCAGCTCCAGGACACCCAATTTCTTGTCATGGGACGCCTCAAAGGTCCCAGTGATACCATCAATATCCCCACCTTGGAGGCTTCCGTGCACAGCACCAACCAAGCGTTTTCCCTCATTGAGCGGGAGGCTGAGCTCATTGCAGGTGTTCACAAACCTCTGGTGCCGATGCGATGGGCTCCCTTCAAGGACAGCGCGGTTCCCGGCCTTCACCTTCCTCAGCTCGTCATAGCTGTCCAGGTACACCACCGAGACCGAATCGTCAGAGGGGAACCATTTCAGCTTGGATACTTCGGACGCCTCTGGGACACCGCTCAAGCCGAACAAGTGTGCGGACCACCGTCTGCATCAGCGCCACGCTGTTGATCCAGCCCATTGGAACAACGCGCATACCCACATAAGCGCGCTCGGTCTCAGCACGCCCAAAAACTGCCCCGCTGACTTGCTTGGCAAAGGCGCTGTAACCCAACCACTCATCAGGGAGCTTGAACAAGTTGAAACAACTCGTGAGATCTTCGCTGTCGATCAGCACCTCTTCATCTTCGTCGTCAACTTGCATCATGGCCATTTGGCCCAAGTAAGGCAGGTGACAATCGTGGCCAGGCATGTGCTGCTGGTAGGTATTCGAAGGTACCAGAATGGAGATGAACCGCTGCAGCAGCTTCTCTTCACCACCCACCTGCTTCACCTTTTTGACTCCACCAGCCCCATTCAAGATTGGGTGACCATTGTGGTCCCTGAAGAGCTGGGATTCCGGTACCTCAGCCATCATACCTCTTTCGACTCCGGCGCGGACTATTGCTTCCCACTCAGCGTCGGAAGCTCTCACCCTGCTGACAGGGGGTTTTTCCGGCCAAGCCCCTTGAGGCAGACGACAAGCCCGCGGGTTGCTCAGCTACTCAGCCACTTCAGGCGGGACAAACTTCAGGGCCTCTTGGACCGCAGCTTCCCCTGGCCGAGGCCAGCATGGGATGACCCTTTCCGCCACCAGGTCCTCCATGTATTGTATCGGCTCACCGCCGTAGTCAAAGTGGACACTTCCGACCGCCTGCTTGCACTTGGCAAAGGGCTCCAACTGACCGCCCTTAGCCTCGAATCTCTTCACCGCCTCATGCAGACGGGTGATCATCAGCTCTTGGGCTGGTGACAACACAGGGCCCCAATTGCGGCCTTCCAAGCAACGCATGGTAGTTGAACACCTCCACCAAGGTAACGACCCAATCGACATTTGACGTGTCTCGTCCAGTTAGAAACTTCCTCACCAATGTCGTCCTCACAGGGAGTAATTGGGGTGGCTCCGTGGCCAACGGAGTTTCCTCTGCAGGCAAATTCGCTTCTAGCTCCCGCTGCATCAACAGAAATTTTGAAAACGGTGAATCAAGCTCGGGCACCAAATCGCGAAGCCAAGACATCAGCTCCACGGGCGAACGCTTTTCTTCCATGAAGTCCTGCAACGGCTTCCCCCACTCTTCCATTGAGTGGGTGATTCTCTCCCCTTTCGGGGGTGACTCCCGGGCCGCTTCGACTTTCACTTGGCCTCGGGCTTCTTTCCTCCCTTGTCGTTCTTCTCCCACGCTCCTCGGTCGGTCTTGTCCTTGTCCTTTGTCTTGCCCTTGGCCCCTTTTGCTTTTCCTTTTCCGTCGCCGTCTCGACCGGGACCGCGGCGATCGTAGCTGCGCAACTTCTGCTCCAGCAGCCACTCTTTCTTGACGAACATCTCCTCGTCCTTCTCCAGCAACATCGAATTTTCCGGGGGGAGGAGTTCTAGGAACTGTGCTGCCCCCCAATGGGCTTCGTGTGTAGCCCGTTCCACCGCCTTGATCCTCTGGGCCACGACATCCGCGGCTTTCGAGGGGAAGCCCCCGGCTAGTAGGTCCAGGATGCGCCCAAGAGTCTTGAGCTCCCGTGTTGATCGGAGTCCCACCTTTGCTCCCAGGCTGGGGAGCAAGATGGTCAACACGTGGTTCATTGCGACCACGGGTGTCTTGCTTCGCACTGAGCTGTCCGGCCCCTCCGCTCCCCTGGCGCAGGCTTGTTCCATTTTCATCAGCATCCTGCATGCCAGTCGTCCTGGAAATTTGTTGGTGTAGGCCAGCAACTTCTGCTGGCTGCTTTTCATGGTCGCGGAGAGGCCTTTCTGAAAAACTGACCCTGCATCAGAAGAGCTCTCTTCATCATCACCGAAATCCACAGGTGGCCCGCCTCCAAAGGGGCCTCTGTCTTGGTCACCAGGCTTCTCCTTCGGAGCTGCAGCGCGCTTCACCTTGAACAGCTCCACAGCGCCCTCTTCACTTGAACTTTCACCGGAGGTCTCCGGGTGACTTTTACGCTTCTTCTTTTTGCTCTTGGGGCGGTCCTCACTGACTTCCGAACCACTTGACCCTTTCTTCTTGCGCCTCGAGCCGGCGGCCTTCTCCTTGTGCTTCTTCTTTTTCTTCTTCTGCGGGACAGACCTTGACCTTCTGCCAGCTTCGCGGTCACTGGCTTCAGCATCCTTCTTCTTGCTCCTCTTCTTGTCTTTCTTTTTGTCTTTGTCTCCCTCCGCAGCTTTGCCACGGGTCACACCCTTGGTTTCACGACGCTTTTTGCGCCGGTCAGCAGCATCACCTTCTGCCTTCTTTAGCTCGGCACGAAGCTGCTTGATCCGAGCCTTCATGTCATCGTCGTCAGATGAGCTGTCAGGTTCCTCAGACTCATCGGCCTGGTCTCCTTCCGCACTGGTTGCCTCCTCAGCTGGCCCCCAGTGAGCAGTAGCTTCGGTGCGAGGGGCTGCAGCAGGCTTTTTTCTGGGGGGAGGCAGTCCACGCAGAGCTTCAAACCTGCCTCTGGCCAACATGTAGCCCTCATAGAGGTGACGATCACTCAACCAAGGCACCTGCTTTGCTCCCAAGACATCCCGGCCAAGGACCCTATAGCGCTCGCCATGCACCATGGTTGGACGATCCTTGTCGACGGGGCAATCCTTGGTTGGTACCCCACATAGGTGATACTCGCCCTTGTCCTTGGGCGGTGATCCATCCCCTTCATTCATCCACCAGTGAAAATCCGCCCACACCGCTTTGGCGGTGAAGGCGTGCTTATTGGGGGGCAACAGCAACACTAAATGCTCAATGACATTTGTTAATATAGCAGTCGCTATATCAGCTTTAGCTGGGGGGGGCCCAAAAACGGTTTCGCACCGAGACCAGAATACGGTGGTGTTTTCGACATTTTTCGAGGATTTTTGGGTGTCTGAGCGCAAGAGGGTATTGAAATGGAATTTTGGGTCATTTTGGTAGCTTTCCGGCAATGGAAAAACGGCCAAAAATGAAAAAAACATTGTACATAGCAAGATTTTGCAGGTTTTTGGATGCCAGAGCATTGAAAACACTGCAAAAACAAGTGTTTTGGACTGACGTTATAGCAAAAAACGTGTAAATTACCGTATGCTTGACTGGAAACATTACAAAAACACTGTCAAAAGCAATGTTTTGGAAGGATTTACTGCCTTTATGGCAAAAAACGTGTAAATTACCGTCTGTTTGACTGGAAACATTGGAAAAACACTGTCAAAAACAATGTTTTGGAAGGATTTCTTATTGAAACTTCTTAGCTTGAAGAGCCCCCACGGGGGAAAACCACCCTTAGCCCCTCTCACGGACCGAAATAAACCTGCGGTGTGGGCGGCCACCCCATGCGAAGCGGGGTGAATAGACATCTGAGGCGCCCATGAACGTCGCCTCCAAGATGCGCCCATGATGATGGCCCACCTTGACATTGTGGACCCCCAGCAGAATGGTGCCCTGCGCATTGCCTGCGTCGTCGAACACCTCCAATTCGACCGTATCGCCCGGGCTCACCGCAGGCGGGCTGCCCCGGCTAGCTCCAGCGCGATACCATGGTCCCATCCTTTCTACTCCCCACCCCCTGACAGAGGGTGGGGGTGAACCCTTAAGAGAAGATGGCTACAGAGCACGTGCATGTTAAACACCCGTGTCATTCACTTAAAAGTTCACTTCACTCAAGTTAATGTACATATGATTATATCTCTATTATAAAATCAATATATCCATATATCTACGTCATGTAAATTATGAATTGCTGATTCTCTGTCTCGCTGCACTCCCCATGTTCAACATATTCCAGCACACCAACCACTCTCCAAATCTCCGCGGTTCCCACCTTAGAACTTTGCGATTGGCCGCAATCGCCTCGTGCGCCATTGGTGAAACCGGAATCGCTGACACCGAAGAAAATGTCCTGCCAGAGCTGGGGTGGTCTGGATGGATTTGGATGGATTTGGAGTTTTTTTAGGGGGAGGGGTGGGAGTCAAGACTCTAGACTCTAGACGGTCCAAGCTTCGTAATCATTCACCAAGGGTCAGGAACTTCGGGTAGCAACTATAATCGATGGTGTCCACTCTTCTGAGAAAATGAGCCAAATACTGTACCGTACTGGATTCTAATGGTAGGAGATCTGGTTTGACACATGGACAAAGCATCACAATGACCTACACAAGCTGGATAGATGACATGGATTGACATGGGAGTAGTCGCTTACACTGGCTTTCACCATTCATCTACAATCATCTACAGGTGTGAGAATCATTTCGAGGCGCCAGTGAGCCCATACTGCGCTCGCCCCTTTTCTCTGACGTTGCCAGGGAGATCCAGCGAAATCAGGGCGCGCCCAGGCTGCCAAGAACTGCAGGTTGTGGTATCCATCAACCGATGTCCCTTGGCTCGGCAGTGTGGAGCTTTGGGACCAATAAAACTTTGAAACCAAGGAGAGTTCAATCTCAAAAGTTCTCAAACTCTGAGATCAGCAGACTGCTTGGCAACAGCTACTAACCTCCTCCGACCAGATCCACGCCCGTGCTGCAAGTTGCGTTCCAAGAACTCGAAGGCATGCTGCCACCGATGTCCTTCCTCACAAGCATCCAGGGCCTCGGTATCGATGCAGAAGCAGGAATCGACGCAACAGAGCTTTGACAGCCCAAATTGCCAAGTATTCTTTCTCATGACAGCAGTCAGCATCCTTCCCCCTAATCCAGCTTCAAGGGTTTACCAGCTTTCCATTCTTCATGTTGGGCACCTAAACAAAGCCGCAAATCAGCCATTTGGAACCATTAGTTATATAATGAATCATATATGTGTCTTTATTTGGTGTATTTTGCAGAATTTGGTGGAATCATCTCCAGTACATAGATGCAACCATTTTGGAAAATCTGTTTCATCTGTTTTATTCATTTTCGTTCCATAGTGCCATAGATTTCCATAGCATCCAGCAATTCCAAGTTGGCTCCATCCTGGCCACTCCAACCGCATCCAACTGCGCCACGCTGCCGCGTTGAAGCTCAGCACATCCACGGCCCCATCCGCCTCAGCCAGGTCGAGTGCCAGGCACCAGGCAGGCACCGCGCAAGCACTGAGGACGGCCTCACCATGTGGGAAAGATGGGGAAAGATGGGGAAAGATGGGGATAGGTCAAAAGGTCAAAGTTGGATACATTTTTTTTGTGCACAGAAATCTGTGGAGTGTACCAAAATATACCAAGATCATCCCCCAAGAGTTTGATCTGTCCAAAAACCTTTGCCATCTTGCCCCAAAGACTATTGGAGCACATCGGATTGTCCATCGGACACGATCCACGCAACACCCTAGAAAAGCTGAATGTTCGTGAATGTTGGGTATGTTTGCATTCGAAATCCACCCTGCAACACCTTGGACAGAGTCAGAACAGTGGGAACATCATGTTTCTGCGCTAATTTGATGAAGCTCCCAATACTTTTTGTGCCGCATCCAGCTTCTTCATGTCAGATTGTAAACCCAAAACCATTCCTTTCTAGAGCAAAACCCCCAAAGCTGATGCATGGCGCCCCTACATGTGAGTGCCATTCCCGACCAAGCAATATTAGCGCCAGGTTGCATTGCAGGCAATCAGGTCGGCATCATGGGACTGTTCACCTGAAACTGACCAGTGCCAAATCTCAGCTTTGGGGAAAACTGTCTGAAATTGCCTATGTTCCACTCCTCGCATGTGCAGATGTTCAACTTACATTGCACTACACTGTCGTTCAATGTCACAACATAAAAAAGAAAAAAAAACCTTGGGCTGTGATTGCATAAATATCATTTTAAATATCAATGATCAGCAAAATTCACAAGACTCGTTTAGTTGTTCTCAAGTAACTCTGACTCTCCGCAGTTCGGTGTCACCAGTCTTGACCAAGGCGCGGAAGAGTGACAGCGCATGACGCCAATGTCCAGCTTTCTCGCAGGCAGTCACTGCTGAACTGCGAGTGGCCAAAGTGCTACTCCTGGGCCACTTGCATCCTAGTGGAAGACGGATGCATCATCTCGATTGGAAAGAAAGAAAGATAAATAGGTAGATACAGTAGGTATAGATACTAATATATACTAATATTATGATGTACGCAGTATGTATTCATGTTGGATTATTAGATATTAATACGTTAACACATGCATATGATATATGCATACATATCGTTATCCGTCTATAGTACCTGTTGCACAAACAAAAACCTGAGAAGGGGGGAACGAAAGCCAGCATCCCATCTACCCCTATTTCCCCGAACCATTTTTCACCGACAGACTTTTCACCCATATACTTTTCATCCACAGACTTTTCACCCAGAGTCTTTCACCCAAATACTTCTCACCCATATACTTTTCACCCACAGACGGATCAACCATACACTTCTCACCCACAGACTTTTCCCCCATATACTTTTCACCCACAGGCTTTTCACCCACAGACTTTTCACCCACAGACTTTTCACCCATATACTTTTCACCCAGAGACTCTTCACCCATTCTTGCACAGACTTTTTACCTAGGGACTTTTCACCCACAGACTTTTCACCCATATACGTTTCACCCAGAGACTCTTCACCCAGAGACTCTTTTTCCACAGACTTTTCACCCACAGACTTTTCCCCCATATACTTTTCACCCACAGGCTTTTCACCCACAGACTTTTCACCCACAGACTTTTCACCCATATACTTTTCACCCAGAGACTCTTCACCCATTCTTGCACAGACTTTTCACCTAGAGACTTTTCACCCACAGACTTTTCACCCATACACGTTTCACCCAGAGACTCTTCACCCAGAGACTCTTTTTCCACAGACTTTTCACCCACAGACTTTTCCCCCATATACTTTTCACCCACAGGTTTTTCACCCACAGACTTTTCACCCACAGACTTTTCACCCATATACTTTTCACCCAGAGACTCTTCACCCATTCTTGCACAGACTTTTCACCTAGAGACTTTTCACCCACAGACTTTTCACCCATATACGTTTCACCCAGAGACTCTTCACCCAGAGACTCTTTTTCCACAGACTTTTCACCCACATACTTTTCACCCATATACTTCTCACCCATATACTTTTCACCCACAGACTGATCAACCATATACTTCTCACCCACAGACTTTTCCCCCATACACTTTTCGCCCGCAGACTTTTCACCCACAGACTTTGCACCTCAGACTTTTCACCCATGCCTGTTTCACCCACAGACTTTTCACCCGTATACTTTTCACCCAGGGATTCTCGCACATATACTTTTCACCCGCAGACTGTTCAACCATATACTTTTGACCCGCAGACTTTTCACCAAGAGACTCTTCACCAATATATTGTTTGCCCTCAGATTTTTTCCCCATATATTTTTCACCCACAGACTCTTCACCCACCGTCTTTCACCCATATATTTCTCACCCATATACTTTTCACCCAAGGCTGTTGCACCATATACTTTTCACCCACAGACTTTCACCCATACACTTTTCACCAACAAACTTATCACCCGCACGCTCTTCACCCCAGACTTTTTAGCCACAGACTTTTCACATATATATATATATATGTATATACTTTTCACCCAGGAACTTTCACCAATACATTTTTCGCCCACATTTTTTCCACCCACACTCTTTTCACCCACAGACTTCGCACCCTCAGGCTTTTCACCCATACCTGTTTCACCCATATACTTTTGACCCACGGGCTTTTCACCCACACACTGTTCACCCACGGACTGTTCAACCATTGAATTCAACCATAAACTTCTCACCCACACTTTTCACCCACAGCCCTATCACCGGCAGACTTTTCACCCGCAATTTTATTAGCCACAGACTTTTCACATATATACTTTTCACCCAGACACTCTTCACCCAGACACTCGTTTGACTTTCACCCATACACTTTTCGCACAAAGACTTTTGACCCACAGACTCTTCACCCACAGACTTTGCACCCTCAGACTTTTCACCCATACCCGTTTCGCCCATATACTTTTGACCCACGGACTTTTCACCCGCGCACTTTTCACCCACACACTTTTCGCCCAGAGACTTTCACCCACAGACTTTTTCACGCACAGCTTTGTCACATTTTTCACCCACAGACTTTTCACCCATACACGTTTCACCCATGTTTTTCACCCACAGACTCTTCTCCCAGAGACCCTGCTTCCACAGACTTTTCACCCAGAGACTTTTCACTCGCAAACTTTCAAGGATCCTTACGCTCATATTTTCATATTTTCATCACCCCTTTCCAAAATTTCCTAATTGCACATCCTATACCGACGGAAGTTTCTTCTCCATAGCGACTGTGCCTCCATTCACGGAACCTTGCCTCTGCCCTCCTCACTTCATATTTTCGTCACCCCTTTCCAAAGCTTCCCTAATTTCACATCCCATGCTGACAGAAGTTCCCTCAAACCCTGTAGAGGGAACGGTCCAAGAGAATAGTGGTTTAGTTTGCGCCCCACTGCAGACTCTCGTCACCCCTTCCAAAGCTTCCTAATTTCACATCCTATACTGACAGAAGTTCCTTCTAAGCCGTGCGACCATAATGGTCCCACATCGGAACCCAACAGATAGGGGTAGAAGAGTAAAAGAGAGAGGCATATTTTCGTCACCCTTCCGAAGTTTCCTAATTTCACATCCTATACTGACAGAACTTCCTTCTAATCCTTGCAACCATAATGGTCCCACATCAGAGCCAAAGAAAAGTAGCCATTGAGTTCCCACAGATAGGGGTAGAGGAGTAAGAGAGATGCATATTTTCGTCCCCCCTTCCCAAGTTTCCGAATTCACATCCTACGCTGATAGAAATTTCTTCTAACCCTTGCGACAATAATGGTTTGACATCGGGGCCCAACAGATACGCCTGTAAGAGTAAGAGAGAGACACAAAGAAAAGTAGCCAATGAGTTCCCACCTTTCCAAGCAATGCCTTTGCCTCTGGCCTCATTCTATTCCAGTCTATTCCGGTCTCTATATCGGACGGACCCGGAGACCCGACTGCATATTTTCGTCACCCCTTCCAAAAATTCCTAATTTCACATCCTATACTGATAGGAGTTTCTTCTCATCCTTGAGACCATAATGACCCCACATCTGAGCCCAACAGATACGATGAGTACATTCTCGCCCACATCCTCCGGCGACCTTTCCAAGCAATGCCTTTTCCTCTGGTAGAAGAGAAAGCCACAAAATACACCTCCAGCGACACTTGCCTGTGCGGATGGGTGGATGTTGCAGCCAGAGGGATATTGCCCAAGTCGTCCATCAAGCTGGTCACGGGCTCTTCCTCTTATCATTAGAAGATGTTAATACGCTCTCCCTCTCTCTCTATATCTTCATCATCTCTAGATCCGTGCATTTTATATGAACTGGTCTTGCCAAGTATGAATTTCGAATGCGCAATCTTGAAGTTGCACGCCATTGGTTATAATTAAGTATAATGGTTTGAAATGTCGTTAGATGGAAGATGGAAAGTTGCCTTTAGCGAATAGTTATTTTCCTATGCTGGCTGGTGGTCATCCCGGGCCCCAGCTGCACTCCCCGGCCTAGGCTTCCTCTTCGTTCTCTCTCAGACGGAAGAGGCGGTTGCGGAGTTCGGCAACCAGCCGTGCCATCCTCCGTGGAAACGCCCTTGGGTGGTTGTGCCGGCGGACGTTCAGCCGGCACCGGCGCGCGGCTTTGCGGAGAGTCCGCTTCAGCTGCCGCACCCTGAGGAGCTCGCGGGCAGTGCCACCCGCGATCTCCTTCGATGTGAATCAGATCAGGGCGGGTCCAATTTAAGGGGCCTAGAATTATACAGATAGGCATAGCTAGATCGTAGAAACATACACACACATATTTTTTTTATAAATATATATATGTGTGTGTGTGTTGATATTTATTTACATAAACAGTATATCTAATTACTGTAGGTGCGTAACCTTTTTCTTTTTTTTCCGATGTTTTCTGTTCTATTGCATCCATTGATCTTTCTGAACTAAGCGATGTCTCAATCCTGAGTGGCCGATCGTTATCATGTCTATTTATGAATATTGGATGTTGTTATTTTTAGACCTGATAAATTCTGTTCTCAAGTCGTTGTTCGAGGAAATGTATCGGGTCATCGGTGATCAACCTACCTGCTCAAGCAATCTATGATAGAATCAGGATATATATATATATATAGTTGATGGTGCATCATTCGTGCTATTTAAATAATTCTTTCGAGGCAGGCTGATTGCTTTGGTCCTGGGCGGTCTGCAGCTCCATTTGAGCCGCACTCCATGGCGGGTACTGCGAGCATTCAGCCATCAGCTGGCTGATTCTCGCGGGCCTGAAGCCCTTGGTCCGCAGGGCTTGCCGGACCTCCAAGTCGCTCCCGAGCACCACTTTCAGGCGAAGGCATTTCCTCGGCTTGCTGCGCTTCGTGCTCTTCCGTCTCCTTGGCAGGCCGCTGCTTCTTGTTGGGTCTTGGTGCGTTGAAACCGCTTCCCCTCTTTGGCTGCCGTGGCAGATTCGTCCCAAAAGGTGGGAATTCTTCGCTTATCTTTGAAGTGCCAAAGTTGAAGTAGGCAGGTGGCGGCGGCTGGTCCCACGCAGGCTGCCAACCCTGTGTATCGGAGACTTCCACCAAGGCATCGTAGTGGTCGATGCCGTTGTGCAGGATGTGGGCCATTGGTACCTCATCTCGTCCCTGCACGGAGGCATGGCTGAGCTCTTCCACCTTCACAGCTCCTGTTCCCGCCAATCGCGTGTGGACAACCATCCTTTGGCCTCTCATCAAGCTGTAGGCGGCCATGGCCGTGTGACCGCCCCACTTGTAACCTCGCAGCTTCATTGCTTCTTGGCGCCATTCCTCTTTGAAGCCTGGCTGCGTGAGCGCTTGCTCCTCGAGGAAGTCGGCCATATCAATACGAAGAGCCTGACCATCATAGCCATCGAAATATGCCAACGCATGAAAGAAGCAGTCTCCATCACCATTCACTTTTGCCACGCAGAAGAATTTCACCAAAGGGCGCGCCTGACAGGATGAAGTCAACCTATCATGTGTTGAGACGGTTTGCATGGGGAATTACAAGCGCTATTTGCATTTTCTTGTTGAAGGGAGGAAGCCATGAGCGCAACTCACACACAGCTCCTAAACTCGAGACACAAGGCAAACAGCTTACCTGAGACGAAGAAGCAGCCATTGATGCCATCTCTGATTTGGTCCTGAAAGGGGCAACAGCAAAAAGGTAAAGGGGGTACCGGGAAACACTTGAAAAACAGCAGCTACAAACATGTTCCAATATTGAACCCTAGGCCGCTGCTCCGTGGACTCGGGAATCTACGCTTGTAGGGTAGATTTTGCGTAAAATCGAATTGCGTCAAAGAAGCTGAAAAGGCTGCGGAACGTCATGGGCCGGTGCAATGTCAAAAGGCATGAAGCAGGCTCTTTTAACTGAAGCAACTCATATCCTGACCTAATACTCCCGGCCATCTGCATAATTTTTTGACTGCGTCCAAAAAAAATCTTTAACTCCTGACATTACATTTGCTAAGTGCTGATCCTCCAGAACCTTCAAAAAAAGATGGAACATAAGGGCCTTTAGCCTAACGATGGGCAATGGGTACCTTTGTTCTAGATGCCTCTGGAATGTTCGCCCTGGCCGAGTTTTGAGCATTCGTTTTTCACCCTTTGGCTGTGCCTTTTCCTCTGACTCCCTTCTATCTTAGTCTCTCCCAAAGCATCCTATACTGATAAAAGTTCCTTCTAATCCTTGCGACCATACTGGACCCCATCGGAGCCTTCTATTCCAGTCTCTCCCAAAGCATCCTATACTGACAAAAGTTCCTTCTAATCCTTGCGACCATGATACCCAACAGATACAAGTAGATGGGTACATTCTCGTCGACACCCCATACTGGCAGAAGTTCCTCAAGCAATGCCTTTCCCTCTGACTCCCTTCTATTCCAGTCTCAAAGCATCGTATACTGACAGAAGTTGCTTCTAATCCTTGCGACCATAATGGTCCCACATCGGAACCCCAGTCGACGAGCACATTCTCGTCCACATCCTATACTGACAGAAGCTCCTTCTAATCCTTGCGACCACAATGATCCCACATCGGAGCCCAACTATAGTGACAGAAGTTCCTTCTAATCCTTGCGACCAAAATGGTCCCACATCGGAGCCCAACAAATACAAGTAGATGGCTACATTCTCGTCGACATCCCATACTGACAGAAGTTCCTCAAGCAATGCCTTTTCCTCTGACTCCCTTCTATTCCAGTGCCTCCCAAAGCATCCTATACTGACAGAAGTTCCTTTGCTTCTAATCCGTGCGACCATAATGGTCCCACATCGGAACCCAAGTCTCCAACTACATTATCGTCCACATCCTATGCTGGCAGAAGTTCCTTCCAATTGTTGCGACCACAATGATTCCACATTGGAGCCCAACTATACTGACAGAAGTTGCTTCTAATCCTTGCGACCATAATGGTCCCACATCGAAGCCCAACAAATACAAGTAGATGGCTACATTCTCGGCGACATCCTATACCTTTTCCTCTGACTCCCTTCTATTCCAGTCTCTCCCAACGCATCCTATACTGACAGAAGTTCCTTCTGATCTTTGTGACCATAACGGTCCCACATCGGAGCCGAACAAATACAAGTCGACCATTACATTCTCGTCCACATCCTCCGGCGATCTTTCCAAGCAATGCCTTTTCCTCTGACTCCCTTCTTTTCCAGTCTTTCCCAAAGCATCGTATACTGACAGAAGTTGCTTCTAATCCTTGCGACCATAATAGTCCCACATCGGAACCCCAGTCGACGAGCACATTCTCGTCCACATCCTATACAGACAGAAGCTCCTTCTAATCCTTGCGACCACAATGATCCCACATCGGAGCCCACCTATACTGACAAAATTTCCTTCTAACCCTTGCGACCATGATAGTCCCACATCGGAGCCCAACAAATACAAGTAGATGGCTGCATTCTCGTCGACATCCTATACTGACAGAAGTTCCTCAAGCAATGCCTTTCCCTCTGACTCCCTTCTATTCCAGTCTCTCCCAAAGCATCCTATACTGACAGACGTTCTTTCTGATCTTTGCGACCACAATGGTCCCACATCGGAGCCCGACAAATGCAAGTCGACGAGAACAATCTCATCCACATCCTCCGGCAACCTTTCCAAGCAATGCCTTTTCCTCTGGCTCCCTTCTATGTTCCAGTCTTTCCCACAGCATCGTATACTGACAGAAGTTGCTTCAAATCCTTGCGACCACAATGATCCCACATCGGATCCCAACTATACTGACAGAAATTCCTTCTAACCCTTGCGACCATGATAGTCCCACATCGGAGCCCAACAAATACAAGTAGATGGCCACCTGGCACATAACCCTCATTCCGTGATTTTGGTCATTTTTTGTCCGCTCTACCCCTAGACCCCCTTAACTCACTTTGTTCGCAAAAACAACTTCGCCTAGCCTAGCGGCAGGCTGGCTTTTGTGAAAATACTCGTCTATAAATAAAAGTATATGGATACATACCGGACAGGAAACCTTGATCATCAACCCTCTCTCATTTGAGCCATATTGCCATAGGACCTTCAACCAAAATCTGTGGAGGTGACATGGCACAAGCTTTCTACCCTGGCTTCTTTCTCTCCGGCCACTTGAAGTATTATCATGGTTTATCATTGCCTTTGCATTGGCATTTGCCAGCATTTTGGGCTGATGGACTTGTGCGTGGGCACGTACAACTATGGCGTGTCACCACTTGCCCGTCTCCGACACTGTTTAGCTGAGGTGCAATCCCTTGTTTTTTATCTCCTCCATAAGACCAAGAACCACACGCCACTTGTACTGGTTTTCACCTTAGGCTGTGCGGAGTCTTTGGACAGCAAAACGTACAGAAGCCGCATTGCATGTGGTACATTGTACATGAACTGCTCCAAATGTTTTTGAGGTGTGTTCACATTTCTAGGCCACACAGATAGCTGCGAGTACTTTTGAAGTGCAGCATTTCAAGGGGTCTATATTTTTGCACCCAGGAACATAGTTTGCATGAAACCAGCATCACACCTGAAGTTTATGAAGAACCGGGAGGTCTATATAAGTCATGCAAACTGTTTTGAAAAGCATATGTTGATATGTTGATACTTTGCAAGGTACCTACTGTGCGTACACAGTATACACTGAATGTGCAAGCCCCACAGAATACAAACCACCAGCCCGCCCTTATATAGTGACAGCTGATTGCAACCACCAAGTCACATGCATCCATAGCTGCAAGGAAACACATCGCATCCAATTTGATCTTCTGCCCCTTGGTACAGCATACGATCAAATACCATCAAATACTATCAAATATCACACTTGAATCATGCCAGGACAAATTGGATGAAGGGGGTTCCCCTACAGACCTCAGTTAGTAAACGGCTCAACATGTAGCAGTACCGCGTCGCAGCAATGACTTTCAAATGGTTCAAGGGAAATTCTTTCAAGCGCGTGCCGGGATGTACAAACCACACATTGCCCACATTGGCGCCCACGCGCCTCGCTCTCCAGCAGCAGTTTCAAGGCGCTTTGCCATTCCCGGCCTGGGACCATCTCATTCTGGCCCTGTGCCCTGTGCTTCAGCATGCAACTCAATTTGAACTAAATCTAGACCCCAACACTTTGCAGCGTTTGCAGTTTGCAAAAGATGCACCGCGCCTACCTGCTCATTGGAAAATGGGGAGATCGCCAGCAATCATGGCTCTGTGATGCATTTCTACAAAGATGATCTTAATCGGATCAACCATTATCTTATACGTGTATATATATATATATATATATACGTATATATGTGAGTTTTGTAACTTGCTGCTGCCGCATACACCTTCGATTGTTTCCTGTCAGGGCAAAGCACATTCATCATGTGCCTTTTGACTCGTGGCTCAAGGCCAATTTCAGCGAGATAGGGGAAAAATCTCGAGTGCCGCCATAGGATTGGTTGGAAGGTGAAGAGTGGACTCTTTTGGGATTTGGTTGGATAGATATACATTTTTGGTGTTGTGGACAACACTGTTGGAACGACTTTACTTTGGTTGAACATCAACTACTTTCTGGTGATCAAGGAGGACCTTGAACCATTCAGGTGGGAACTGTTATCAGTGGAGTTGTGATCTACGATCCAACGACACTGGTAGCGGAGCCTAGAGGCTCGTGCTACTTGCACGCAAAGCCGGCCCGCTAGTTTGGTGGCTTCTGGATAGTGAGCAATGCCTCCTAAAGAGTCTGCCTCAACTGATGGGAACGGTGACTCCCAGCAGGGTTCCAATTTTTGGAATTTGCTGCCCAGTTTTGACCCGAGTGAAGATGACATTCGAGAGTTTTCACAGAAAGCCAGGTTCATCCACGGTGTCATGCCCGAGAAGGACAAGCCCAACTTAGCTCCCAGGTTAGCTATGTTGTGTAAAGGGACAGCTTGGTCCCAGGTGCGTCAGTTAGACCCGAAGAAGCTCACCAAGGCCGAATCAGGTGTTGAATACTTGTTGGCCGCTTTGTCAGCTTGGGAAGAAACATCAGAGATGAAAACGTATGAACTGTTTGAACGAGCACTCTACAAGGTAGTACAGAAGTCTGATGAGGCCTCCCATAGTTTCTCACTTCGCCTTCAAGCTGCATTCAATGAGATAGGTGATGATGTCACTGTCAAACAAATGCGAGCCTTCGTGATGTTGAGACAGTCAGGTTTGTCGTCCGAAGACAAAAAGAAAATCCTGACGATGACAGGTGGTAAGCTGGATCTGACCGCAGTTGACCAAGCCATGAGGTCGTTGTCCACACGTGTGTTGATGGGTCCTGGTGAAGCCAAGAAAAAGATTTACCCGATCAATTTCTCAGAGGTGGAAGAGCCACCTACCCAATCCGATGAAAGCCTTCCGGTTCAAAGCACTTACGTTGCATACCACGAGGAAGAGGATGTTTTGACAACCGAGCATCTGGAATACCTAGTGTCTCAGGGAGATGAGGATGCCAACGTAGTGCAACAGTTTGAGCGTGATTTCGAAGAGATGCTGCAAGAGATTCCTGGCATGCAACAAGCAATGGTCTCATACAATGAGGCTAGGCAGAGGATCAATGATCGCCGTCGCAGCCGAGGGTTTTGGCCCACTGGAAAAGGAAAAGGGAAAGGTGGGTTCAAAGATGGCTCCCGGCCATACCGCAAAGGTGTTGGAAAGTCTGGAAAAGAAGAGTTGTTGGCTCGCATTGCAAAAACGCATTGCAAGCTCTGCGGCGCCCTTGGTCATTGGCGCGCAGAATGCCCTCAGAGGAAAGAAGCCCGTGAAACTGCCAACGTTGCCTTCTCCATGCCTTCCGAAGCATCCGATGCCGAAGAGGAGACCAGCCAAGTGGTCTTTGAAGAGTTGAGTGAACAGGAGTGCACCCGTTGTGAAACATGTTTCGTTGCCTCATGCTACCGAAAACCAGTTTTCTGCGAGCAAAATGTTGAAGACGTGAAAGCCTTTTGGGGTAAGAAACTGAATAAGCCGGGGTATAAGCGGGGTAATAAAGGGGTAATTGGGGATAAAGGGGTAACCAAAAACAGTGGTCCAGAAAACAGCCTGAAACCAGCAGTGGTGACCTCAGCACCCAACACCCGTGCCGCCAGGAAGATGCATCCGAGACCAACCAATAGAGCCGATGGTTTTGTCAGCCAGAATCACTCAGATGCCATGCAAAGTCAAGGAATGGCCATACTGGACACAGGTGCCAGTCGCAGTGTGATCGGACAAGACCATGTCCCCGCGATGCTCCAAAAACTGCCAGCCAGTGTCCGTGACCAAGTCGTGGAGAAACCCAGCAGAGTAGGTTTCCGTTTTGGAAATAACCAAGTTGCATATAGCTACAAGCAGTTACGCATACCATTGGTCCACAAGGGAATCCGAATTTGGTTGCTAATTGAAGTAGTGCCGAAAGCCACACCTTTCCTGCTGTCAATTAAGACCATGAAGAGTTTAGGAGCTATGATAGACCTAGGGCAAAACACATGTTTTCTCAAGACGTTGCAAAGGTCACTGTATTTGAAAGAAAACAAGAATGGGTTGTTCATGATTGACTTGTCCGATCTTTGTCAACCTGATGTCAAGTCCAATGCAGCAGCTTTTGTCGCATCAAGTGTCTGTGCCCCGCCTCCAGGTCTGGAAAGTGAAATTCCTGCCAGTCATGCCGACCCGTCAGGAAGTGCTCGATGCTCTTCGCACAGTGGCAAAGGAAGTGTTAGCCAGTCTGAAGCTCCTGATGACCATCGTGTTCACCATGACCAGTGCGATCGATCCGAACCAACGGAGCTCCAGATGAACCCTGTGAATCAGTTGATTCACGAAGTGGCCCAGCAACGTCGGACGATCGACCAGTTGGGGAATCTGATTCAAGCTCAGTTCCAACAGAAGCCACCCACATGTCCAGGACCTATAGTGAGCCCTGTGAACCACGTTCCAGGATCAGAAGATTTCGAATGGGAAGCCGAGATGGTGCCGTCACAAGGCCAAGCTGCATCAACGGTGCCAAATTCTTCCCAATCGATGCCTGCTGTGATGATGAATGTCAGAGCTCCCAACAATCAGCCTCCTCCAATGCCAGTGAGACAGCCCATGCCGCACGTGTCAATGACACCAAGTGCCCGACCACCAGCTGCAATGATGGGAAGCCCAGGATCGTCTTACGCAGCTTCCGAGATTGGAAGCCAATTGATGGTGACTCAAGCATCCCTCGAAAGCTGGGGAAACAAGATCGTGGGCTTTGGCAAAAAGCACCTGAGGTCTCGTTACGCCCATGTGTACGAGTCCGACCCAGGTTACATCAAGTGGATCTTGGCCAGAGCCGACAACCTTTCCGAGGATGTGGCGGATTTCGCAAGCTATGCCCGAGCTCGCAATCAACTGGAGCAATTGGCCAACAACCCGGTTCCATGAGAGGCATTTGGGAGGGATTTCAAGATTCTAGGATGTCACATAAATCTAGTTTTAAAGAAAGACAATTGTGGACTGAGATGCAACAGTCAGAATGTGGAAAGAGCTTTCACAAGTCAGAACAGTTGGACATCCTAGAAGTGTATGCGTTCCCTAACAGCATGTTGACCACTGTGGCACAAGAACATGGTTTGCGAGCAAGGAGGTTTACATATGAAGATGGGGATTTATCGACAGCTACTGGAAGAAGAGCTTTGTTTCACATCATCAAGACACAGAGACCAAAACATATTTGGCTTGCCCCGGAATGTGGTCCTTGGTGTGCCTGGAACCGCTTTAATTCCATGCGAAGCCTTTCTAGTTATGAACAAGTCATGCACCAACAGCGTCTTGCCAAAGAACACTTGGTATTGTGTAATGTGGTAGCTCAGATTCAGCATGATGAGGGTCGACACACCCATCTCGAAAGCCCCAAAACCTCCGGCGTTTGGAAGCAGCAGGAGATACAGCCGTTTTTGAAGCGTTCCATTCCGGCCCAGCTGGACCAATGTGCTTTTGGCCTGAGACATCCAAGTGAAAATCAGTTGATGAGAAAATCCACTCGCATACAAACCACCTCAGTTGAAATGTTTTCTGTTTTGGACTGCCGTGTTTGCAATCGTGAACATAGTCATAGTACCATAGCAGGAAGATGTCAGTGGAAGGGCCATAGCATTTCCGTGTCCAGGTTTGCTGCTTTCTATCCACGCAAGCTTGCACTGACCATTGTCCGTGGAATCATGCAAACATCCCAAGGCCCCTATGAGGCGCCAATTTGCCATGTAGATGAAATAGAGCCGCCTGCCAAAAGGGCACGTACCAACTCTGGTGAAGCCTCTGCACCACACGACACCACGAACGTGTGGAAACCAATGTTTGAATTTCTACAGAGAAAACTTCCCAAATCAGGTGTTGTCACTTGGGAAGACCCGCAAGATGAAGTCTTCCAGGAAATTCAGAAACTGTTTCCACATGAGAACATTGGTGCAGTCAAAGCAGGAAAAGGCCTAGATCGTCTTTTGTTGGGCGAAGAGGCTTGGAGAGATCAGCTGCCGAAAAGACATAGCATAGTACAGAAAAGATTCACTCATGAAATAATTGACCTAGGACTTGAAGTTTGGAGTGAATTAACTCGGAAAAGGGCTTGTCGAAAAGAGGTGCCAAGCCATATCATGTTGTGTTTGTTTTCCAGAGATGACAGCCGACCTGATACACCTATAATGCCAGCAGCCGATCCCGCCAATAGATCAATTGAGACAAAAGCCGCTGAATCAACAGCCAGTCCACCAGTGCAGGTAGATGTGCCCAGCTGGACTCCTTTAAGTGCCACTGTTTCAGGCCCAAATTTCCTGAAACTTACTCGAGAGCAACAGTCCATGTTGCGCAAGATTCATAATAATCTAGGACACCCCACAGCCGAAAGACTGGCCCGACATCTAAAGGAATCCAAAGCACATGAACACCTGGTGGAAGGTGCTGCCGACTTTGTGTGTCCGTCATGCGCTGAGAGACACCCACCACAAAAGACTACTCCCGGCCAACTCAAAGACCCGAAGGATTTTAATGAAAGAATTCTTTTGGATGGTTTTGACTGGTGTAGTAAAAGGGGTATTCAAATCTATGTGTTCCATATCCTAGATGATGCTACCCGTTTCCATTTAGGTCAAAGGATAACCCGGGATACCCAAGCCTCCATCCGTACAACGAAACAGATGTGGATTCAATGGGCAGGATCCCCACAGGAAATACTACATGATCAAGGTGGAGAGTTTGTATCCCAGCCATGGAAAGATTTTTTGCAAGCCCACAGCATTCAGCCAGTGCTCACTGCCGCTCCGTGGCAACGTGGTCGTATCGAGAGGCATGGAGGTGTGATCAAGGAAATGCTTGAAAGAATGGACCATGCACAGAACTTCAACAGTCTAGCTGAAATAGATGAGGCTCTTAACCAGTGTTTCCGAGCGAAAAATTCTATGATAGTGAATAACGGATATAGTCCAGAACAAGCTGTACTAGGTAAGGCCTCTAAACTTCCTGGGTCACTACTCTCAGACGAAGAATCAACTGCTCATCACGTGTGCCTTTCACCCGACCCAGCATCCGAGCAGTTTAAGCGAAGTCTTGAATTGCGGACAGCCGCAAGAGCAGCTTTCTGGCATGCTGGCAATCATGCTGCAATTCGCAGAGCAGCCCTTCATAGGTCACGAGGTGTGATACATGAATGGCTGTGTGGACAGTTGTGCATGTTTTGGGATAAACGAAGAGCCCCGAACATATTGGAGAAAGGACGATGGTGTGGTCCAGCACAGGTAGTTTGCCAGGAATCAAGAACAATCATATGGATCACTCACATGAATCGGTTGTTAAGATGTGCCCATGAAAATCTCAGACCAGTTTCCATGCGTGAATTTCAAAGACACTCCACTTTTACAACTTCAAACGCCCAAGAAGAATTGAAACAAATGGCACAACGTTTACAGACACAGTTGAAAGAAAAGAGTGGCATGTTTCAATACTCCGATTTATCTGAGGTGAATCCTCCAACAGAAGAAGAGGCAAACGATGGCAATAGCGAACTTTCGACCTCTCGACAACCAGAGGAAGAACCAATCAGACGCCAACAAGGTGAGATCGAAATTCCTGACGAAACCATGCGCGACCCTGCGGTCGAAACGCCTGTTCCAGACTCCCCGTTTTCTTCCAATACTGAAGAAAGCCCTGAATCAATGGTTCCAAGCCCGAGCCTGGCACAATCTGCTCCTGACACTGCATCATTGGACACAGATCAGTCGGAAAATGAAACTCCGAGTAACATGGAACCTGTGTATAATGCTGTTATCATCGAGAAGAATACCGAGACGACAGACTGTGTTCATGACGATGGCGCTCTTTGGTCAATGCCCGACCCTTGCGAAGCAGCGTGTGTGTCTTTTGAGTTTGAAATGCCAAAACAACAATTCCATAAGTTCCTCAAATCTCCCAAAGAGCACCTGCCAGAGGTCAATGCCGCAGCCCGCAAGTTTGGGAAAGAACTTGTTTACAGTGACTTGACACCCCAAGAGAGAGAGAGGTTCAAGCAAGCCAAGTTGAAGGAATTGAATTGTTGGTTGGATACTCAAACGGTAAGAACCATAGTTCGGGATAAAATTCACCCCTCCAGAGTTTTAGCCTCTAGATGGATACTGACTTGGAAGGAAGATGAAAATAGCGAAGATGGAAAGAAACCAAAAGCACGACTTGTGGTAAAAGGTTTTCAGGACCCCGACATTGGGGAATTAGCATCCGACAGTCCCACTCTCACCCGAGATGGTAGGATGTTATTACTCCAGACAGCTGCCAGCCACAAATGGTGTATTGAAAGCTTTGATATCACTACTGCCTTTCTACGAGGGAAATCAGATGATCGTCAACTAGCAATGGAACCCCCAAAGGAGTTGAGAGAACTGCTTGGAATGGAAAAACATCAGATCTGCCTACTAGAAGGAAATGCTTATGGACGGGTAGATGCCCCTTTGTTATTCTATCGCGAATTTCGGAAATGCTTAGAAGAAGTAGGTTTCACCGCACATCCCTTGGACAATTGTTTGTACTTGTTAAGAGACCCCAAAGATCCAAAGATCCTCAATGGGATAGTGGGTACTCATGTGGATGACGGTTTGGGGGCAGGTAACCACAAATTTAGCTATGCCCTACAACAACTTAAGAAAAAGCTTCCTTTCGGCTCACATGAAAAACGCAAATTCCGTTTCACAGGACTTGAAATAGAACAGTTGCCGGATTTTTCTATCAAAGTTAGCCAAGAAAAATATGTCCAAAGAATAACTCCCATAGACATCCCTAAACTCCGTAGAGCAGAAGTTGATAGCCCTATCACTCCACAGGAGTTAAATAAACTAAGGGGGATTTGCGGGAGCCTACAATACGCCGCAGTGCATTCCCGGCCCGATGTGGCCGCAAAAGTTGCGCACCTGCAGAAGGGTATTACCAAGGCGACCGTGCAAACTCTGCTAGATGCAAATCGAGTACTCAAAGAAACCCAAGAGTTTGCCAACACCTCTGTGATCGTACGTCCGATCCCCATGACGGAGCTCTGTTTCGCAAGCTTTGGTGATGCAAGCTTCGCTTCGGCCAAACAGATGTCAGCCCAGCAAGGGATTTTTATCATGGCATGCACACGGAAGCTAGCAAACAATGAGACGACAGACTTCTCTCCAGTTGCATAGCATACCAAACAGATTGGTAGGGTGGTTCGTTCTACTTTGAGTGCCGAAGCATACGCTATGTCCAGTTCACTAGATAAGTTAACGTGGATTAGATGCATGTGGGGTTACATAAAGGATCCCTCTTTTGCTTGGCATAAACCTGAAAAGTCTCTTTGTGTAGAACCACCAGGGTTAATGATCACTGATTGTAAATCCTTATATGACTTAGTCACGAAGACTGCAGTGCCAAATTGCCAGGAGTGGCGTACCACCATAGAAGTCATGTTGCTGAAGGAACAATCAGCTAACCATACCCAATGCCGCTGGATCAGCACTGCTATCATCTTGGCAGACTGCCTAACGAAGTCCATGGACTCAACTTTCTTACGCACCGTTTTGCAGTTGGGAAGATTCAGAATCTACGATGAAGAAATGACCCTCAAACAGAACTCGAATCGAAAATATGGTGTCACATGGGTGAAACAATCGAACATAGAAAAGAGACCAGTGTGAGTTTTGTAACTTGCTGCTGCCGCATACACCTTCGATTGTTTCCTGTCAGGGGAAAGCACATTCATCATGTGCCTTTTGACTCGTGGCTCAAGGCCAATTTCAGCGAGATAGGGGAAAAATCTCGAGTGCCGCCATAGGATTGGTTGGAAGGTGAAGAGTGGACTCTTTTGGGATTTGGTTGGATAGATATACATTTTTGGTGTTGTGGACAACACTGTTGGAACGACTTTACTTTGGTTGAACATCAACTACTTTCTGGTGATCAAGGAGGACCTTGAACCATTCAGGTGGGAACTGTTATCAGTGGAATTGTGATCTACGATCCAACGACATATATATATATGTATATGTATGTAAATATATATATATATATTCGTGTATATATATATATATACGTATATATACATGTGTGCGATTATATTATATACCAAGTAATTCATCATATCCGAAGAAGCTGTAGAACTTGGAACTATTATTGTGCTCTATCGATCCACCATCCAGAGCCTGCTGCGCAGGCACTCATCACTGCGCTGACGATGGCCACGTCTGGCTCCTACACGGAGCCAGCTGAACAACAGGTCGCTGGTGATTGGTCGATGTGGATTCCAAGTGGCAGAGTATCTCCACTATCCCAATTTTTAAGTGTCTAGATGATGTAGTAAAACCATGGTGGAAGAAAAAAAACTCCAAACCATCAAACAACAGTAACCTTGGCACCGCCTGGTATTTTCAAACATTGGAATCATTTGGAATCACGTCGCATCGGCGCCTCAACCCCTAGGAGGAGCTCCAGGGCAATCTGCCACAAGGCGCCATCCACACAGGCACTGATGCAGGTGCTGCAGGTGATCAGGCTGCCTTCCACGTGCACAGTTTACAACGGTTGAGGAAAAGAACGACTTGGCCATTTATCCAGGTCCGATCATCAAAATCATAGTATATAAGCACAGTGTATAATCATGAAATATGATCATTTTATAGAATCATATAATCATATATAATCATAAAATAATCATAATATATATTCATTATTATAGTCATATATAATCATAAATAATCCAATATAATCATATATAATCATATATAATCAAAAATATATAGTCATATATAATCAAAATTTAAAATCATATATAATCATAATATTTAATCAATATGTTCATAAAATATACCCATATATAATCCAAAATATAAGAATATATAATCATATATAGTCACATATAATCACATATAATCATATATAATCACATATAATCATATATAATCATAAATAATCATATATAATCAAATATAATCAAATATAATCAAATATAATCATTTAAAATCATATATAATCAAATATAATCATATATCATCATATATAATCACAGATAATCATATATGATCATAATAGTTCATCAAATCTAATCATAATATAAAATCATAATATATAATCATACCCTATAATCATATATAATCAGAATAATCACATATAATTTTAATATATAATCATATATAATCATGACATATAATCATAATATATAATCATAATATATACTCATAATATATACTCATATATAATCATATATAATCAAAATTTATAATCAAATATAATCATGGATATAAAATCATAATATCTAATCAAAGAAAATAATCATGAAATATAATCATTTTATAGAATCATAATATATAATCATATATAATCAAAAATATAAAATCATAATATATAATCATAGTAAATAATCATGAAATATAATCATTTTATAGAATCATAATATATAATCATATATAAGCATAATATATAATCATAATATATAATCATAATTATAGTCATATATAATCATACATAATCAAATATTATTAATTTAATCATATATAATCATATATAAACAAATATAATCATATATAGTCATAACATTTCATCAAATAAAACCAGAAGATATAATCATAATAATCACATATAATCATAATAGTTAATCAAATATATTCATAATATATACTCATATATAATCAAAATTTATAATCATATATAATCATAATATTTAATCAAATATATTCATAATATATACTCATACATAATCATAATATATAATCATATATAATCATATACAGTCATAATGCATGATCATAAAATATAATCATAATATATAATCATAAAATCATCAAATATAATCATAATATTTAATCATATATAATCATAATATACATCATAATATATAATCATTATATACATCATAATATATAATCATTTTATATAATTATATTTTTATAATAGTAATTATTATGATTATTTTGATGATGATTATTTTTATAATCAAATTATATACTTATAATTTATAGTCATATATAACCATAACATTTAGTCATATATAATCATAATATATAATCATATATAATCATAACAGATAGTCATATTATATAATCATAGTATATAATCATAATATATAATCATAATATAAAAAATAATGTATAATCGTAATATATAATCAAATATAATCATATATCGTAATAAACTTAAAATCAGTTTGAAAAATTTGGAAGTGCCACAAAGACTGCGAAATATGTGGTTCCCTTGCAAACACGCCAGACCAAAGCATTCTCAGCGACAGCAAGTGCAAGCGAGCCAAAGACATCCGAAGACATGCGCCACAAACTGAGAGGGACGAGGGACTTATTCATAAATCATAAAGCCTCATGGGTCCTTTCGCGTTTCCAGTGGGTTGCTTGCTGGGATGTCAATCCATATCATGTGATCACATTCCAACCTGGGATCTTCTTCTCCTGGATGCTGGAGAAGATGGCGAGCGCCTCCAAATGCTACAACAGTCGGCACACTTCCATGAAAACACCTGCATGTTTTGCATCGAGGGGACACATGGACTGCGCAGTTTGAAAGCTGTCTCCCTGCAGCCAGCTAGAAAGGGTTTGATAATCTTGTCCAATTGTCTAACCTACCTAGTATTGTATAGCATGTACATTAACATGTACATTATATAACATATGAATATATATATATATATAGAGAGAGAGAGAGAGAAAGAGAGAGATAGAGAGAGAAAGAGAGAGATATTGATATATATATATATATATATATATATATATTAGGCTAGTGGTGTCATCGTGTTTCATCAAATTAAGCCCTGAACACTGCGTTCACAGCCGCATGCCTGCGGCCATAGGCCTCCTCGGCGACAGGCACCCATAGCAGCGCTGAAGGCCACAACCGCCCGAGGACCCTCGCAGCGCATGGCATGGCCAAACGTGAAGCAGTGAAGGACAGCAACAGGAATGATTCAAGAGGCTCTGCCCTGAAAAATTATCTTCCATACCATCGTATCTTTTTCATCCGTGTTCCACTTTCGCCTGAGAATTGCGCTAAAATCGGGACAAATCATGTGAGAAATCTGTTTTCCACAAAGAGGTCCTTAGTCCCAACTTGGTTTGGAAAGCGCTGGCCCTGGAGCTCCAACAAGTTCAGGGCCATGGGCCACGCACTGCCCTTTTCACAGGCACTGATGGCGGCACAAAACGAGATGATGTTGCCTGCGAAGCACATGGAAACACCAAACGGTAGGATGCTGCGGCGGCCATTGTATTATTTGTATTGAACAACTTTATCCAGCCTGGTCTTCGCTGAGATTCAAATGCGTGAAATATCTTGCATTCTGAGATAAGGATGTGACATCTGAAGGATCCTGATGCTATGTTTGCCAGCAAGCACTTAGAGGCCTCTCATGGTACGGTAGCAGAATATCACAATCTGTGACTCGTAAAGCCACAAGACAGGGGAAACTTGTAAAAAGACTGGAAGTCTTCTGGCCAGGCCACTCTTCACCGAACTCTCTCGCATCTCCAACAGGATCTCCATCCCCTTTAACCACTCCCCAGCACGCTCGAGGGCACTAATGGTTGAGCTGTAGATGATCACATTCAGCTCCTTGGCTCAGTGAACTCAGTGAACTCAGTGAACCATCAAAACTCAGTGTAGGTCGACACCGTCGACACCTTGCCTTACAGCTCCAGGTTGGAGAGTTGTTTCAATAGAAAACTCAACAGAAACTGTCAATTCAATGCCATATCCCACTCTACGTTTCCCATTGGATCCACTGGGCCCTCCTTACTGGGCTGGGCTCAACACCCAGGGTCCAGCTGTCGTCGCTTTACTTCTTCCAGCAGCTGCAGCGCCAGGCGCCACTCCGCAGCCTTGGCGCAGGCGCTGATGGCTGCGCCGAAGCTCACCACATCCTGAGTCGAGGCGTGCCCGTGGTTCCGCGGGGTGCCGTGGGAGGCCCCAACCCCATGAACATATGTGACAGTCCATGATGAAATCATATGAAATCATATGTGAAATCATCCAGTGTGTGAAATCATATTAATATATGAAATCACATGAGTGCTAATATGATACTAACGTTTCAAAGAATTTCAGTTGGATTCCATCTTGCAGAGGCACTGGACGCAGCTGCAACTTGTGGTGACGCTCCAAACAAGCCAAGGCCAAGTGCCATTGCTCACTTTTCTCACAAGCATTGATACCAGCTGAAAGGATGATGAGATCGATCGCATCTCCTTGAAGCGCCTGAGCATAGCAAAAGCTTTGCATCTCAGATGAATGGAAGTGCTCAGCTAAGCATAGCATGCTACCTTGAACCCACTTATCTACCCAAGTTCAAGGGAGTGCGACTAGGTTCAACTTGATTCAATCAAGTCAATCAAGTTGTATCTCCAAAACTCCAATATGAACCCCTCGCGTTTGGCCAGGGACAACTTCAGTGGGTTGGGATGGCCAACCGTTTGTGTGCAGCAAGTCGGCCAAAAACGTCTGGACTAGCAAGATTCAACGGATTTAGGCAGGCCAAGGATTAAAGGGTGTCCATTATGATATCAATATTAATGGATATCAATAGTATCAATATCCCAGGGCATTTCGGAAGTTCCCGGACTTCATGGAAAACCCAAGGACCATATACCATGAAGCCATATGGAAGTTGATATCTATGATAGCTCATCTGTACCATTCTGTACCCATTACCATCGCCGAGCTGCCAAGGCAGTCCGCCAGTGCGTGGCTTTGGAACAGGCACCAATGGCTGCTGTTCGAGGCTTGGCACCTGCTCCAAGATCGATTGAGGCTCCCACAACACTAAAAGCTAAAGGGATCTGAAGGCTATAGACAAGCAATCACATGATAATCATATGAAGATATTTGCGAATCAAATGTGAATATATCTAAAAATACTTGCGATCCAACAACTATTGGAGTCACTGCAGGCGACACCACTCAAAGCGGAGGACTCGAAGAAGCAAAGTTATAGCAGTCAAGCAACTCTTGAGGGTTCGGGATGCACATAGATTTTCGAGAAACTGTTGCTGCTGCTGCCACTGCAATGGTGGCCCTCTCATCCCATTGCTCCCCACTCATGGTGGCACAGCTAGGCAAAGCTCAAAAATTCCAACAGCGGTGAACGGCACAATGCAACCTAAGCAAAGCCAAGTGCGCAAGGCGCCCCTCTTCAGCATAGTGTCACCCTGAGAGCCCGCGCCGCTGAAAACAGATCTGCATCAAGTCTGAGGTTCAGAGCAAAACCCTTTCAGCCCAACCATTTCTCGAAGATCTTGTGCGCATGATTGTCCATGTACTGTATCATCATGTATCATCATGTATCTTCATGTATCATCGTGTATCATCTACAGCATCGCAACCGTCAAGATTAGATGTGAAACTTGAGCCAAACACCCAGTTAAGAGGAGTCTTGGCATCTGATATTGTCCTCCTTCGCTGCACACTGCAAAGGCAGCGCACTGTGAAGAGGAACTCCTCCTGCAAACGCGGGGGATAGAAGTAGCTGTTCTAACTTCACACATTGCCATTGCTCTAGAATGTTCTGAATGCTTGCCCAATAAGTATAACTGTCATTGGTGGTGGCGGAACCGGGATCTTCATATCGCTTGCATATTTATTGCAACAGCATGGAATCGTGATGAATCGTGGGTAATCCACACATTAACGGCCTGACCAGCTGACTCTGGGACCGTTTGAACATTCACCACGTCGCCAATTAGGCCTCAGAGGCTGCCATGGAATGGTTTCAACCACTTTCCCAAACAAGATGCCTTATCAGATTTATCAGCATATCTGCCCAAGACCCATGACAGGCCAAAGCCAGAGAAGTCTGCCCCACAAAATGCCTCTGAAGAGGGGAACCTTTTGTTGGCTTCACTAGGTCTCTCCTCTTTTCGTGCTGGTCTTTCAAGTAACCTATAAATATAATATGTATATATATATAATATGTATATGATTATATATATATATCATTATATATATTATATATATTATATATAAATATATATTTATATATATATATGTCAAACTGGCAACGGGCCCCACCTGGGGCCAGCACTCGCACGGTTCTCTCTCCTCGCCCTCGAGCAGAGTTCCACTGCGGTTGGATATGGACCTGTCTATGGTACTGCATGCAAGGGAACACATGAAGGGGTGATTTCACACTCCTTCTAAACTATAAATTCAAAAATTGCCCTTCATGTGGCTTCAGCCTTCAATGAACTGACGACGCTCGGTGGTGCCAGGAAAACACTCTCCGTAAGTCTGAATGCCACCCCATTTGATCGCCTTCAGGTAGGCTGCGAAATCTGCTCCCTTCGGGGACTGCTTGGCAGAGCACGATGTGACCCGCTTCAAGTAATCCTGCATGGCGGGATCTCCAGCTTCCGCATCCTTTTTGGCTTTGGCCACCATGCCGTTGTAGGACAAATTCAATCCCGCATACTTGCCCATGTTGTTGAGAGTATCGCCCCATTGCTTTAGGCTCATGACTCCGGGCGGCAAGCCGTCAGGATGAACCTCAGCAGCTCCTGCCTTCGAATTTCTCATCTTCAGCATCACAGGGGACTGTGTTTCACTCACCATGTCAAACTCCTCCCAGGAGTCAAGGCGACGCTTTGACCCATCATGCATGGAACCAGTGGAAGCTGAGCCGATCTCATCCTTGGCGCCTTGCATTTCACCAAGCAAAGCATGGAGTCGGCCTTCATTCTGAAGCATTTTGAGAAACTGCAACTCACGGTCATGCTCAGGAGACACGCTTTTAGACATGGACATTGCTGGCAAGCAAACTTCGATCAACACTACGGTGGGCACAGGTCTATGGATTGGAAACTCAAAAAGGGACTGCTGACAGGATCAGCAATCATGCTCACAAACTCTGGAGATCAGAGGAGATTGCGCAAAGACGAAAATGCTTGAATATCTATACAACCTTCTGGAAAAAGTGAATTCTTGACTGAAATATCTCTCGCAGACACCCAGGAATCTTCGACCACTGTGTATTTAAACCCTGTAAATAAATAGCACTTCAGATTCACAAGCCACAGTTGATACACCAGACACAGTCCTATACTACATGCATTTGTGGACACTCTGAAATTGCTTCTTCTGTTCACGGCGCTCATGTTCATGCTTTTGTTGCAACTTCCGGCGGGCAGTTTGGTGCTCCCGGTGTTTGCGCTTGATGGCCAGAATGGTGGCTTCACTATTCAGTTGATACTCTCCCACATCCAAAATTGCTCTGAGTAGATCGGCAGCATCCATCTGATCTTTGGTTAGACCATCTGCAATCATCAATTGAGTGGGACACCATCGTATGGCCATACCTGTACGAGACATGGTCTGACGGAGAATTGCTAAGTCTATGGCTACTCTCTTATCTTCGGACTTTGTGACCGAAGACATTGAGGTGAGGCTGTCATACAACGACTTGCAATCCGAAATTCTAGTGAGAACAGCTTCGATTCTGGGTTTCTTTTGAAACTTGGACACAGGATGGGATAAGTTTGCATAATCCCTCAAATCAAAGCAACCGTGTTTCGCCTCAGTGATCATCAAAGACATCCATTCAGCCAGGGCACTCGCTGTTGAAAAACTTTGAGACTCACCTCCCAACGTAGAGGAAACTACCCTAGGTAAACGGTATGACTTCCAACAAAAAGGCGACCATTTCGTAGGCATGTTCTGAGTCAATTCTGGACCTACAAAACCTAATATGTACCCAGCTTGTGTAGCGTGTGCCTTGGCATTGGCAAACGCGGCGTCGCTGTGAAAACATATGCCAATTTCGTTCCAGGGAATGTCTCGAACTGTGATGGTCACATGGCTGTACTGCTTGGCGCGATGGACTAGTTGGTTGGCCTGCATCAAATCCCACACTGTTGGTGATGGAAAAGCTTGCTGACTAAAAGAAGTCTGAACACACAAATCTGGACGTGTCTGTGAGGCCAGCCAGTTTGCAGCTCCGTTTATGGCTCTTAAAGCTGATATCTCCTTTTCAGTGGCAGGAGCTTGCTTGTCGGACATTCTGCTACGGCTCAAGGAAATGGGTCGCAGGTTGTCAGCATATGTCTTCTGATGATACTTGATTTCAAAGGATTTGGGATCTTGGTCATATTGAATCCCACAAAATTCCCCAGAACCAACTCTCCACTTCCGATAGGGAAAACGTCCTTTCAACTTCTCGATGGCTTGTTGATAAACTTCACCTTGACCCCCAGTGATAGTATCATCCACGTGTGCGCCCAAAATTCCCACTAGAGACTTGTCAGCATCTCGAAGGAAATACAAACAATTGTCAAACTGTGATCGTTCCCAGCCTATCTCTTGTGCTGTACTGTCAAAGGTGCTCCACCAATTGAAAGGTGCATCGTTGGACCCATATATATTTCCAGTAATTTCAATGACGTCTTGAGGATCGAGGTCAGGAATGCCCCCTCTAGGTTGATGCATGTACAGGGGACGAAATTTCTGTTGTATGGGACCAGCTTCCAAAAAGGCACCCTTTATGTCACCTAGATTCATGATCCAGTGCTTTGACACAATTGTCTGCAAAACCAACGCTCTTGCTAACTGACTCATGGTAGGACTATGACAGCATCCTGAATTGATCTTGGCCTCAAAGTCTGGATCCAAATGACCCTGTACACAGAGGCGCGCTTTCACTCGTTGTCCATCTTCATCATCCTTTTGTGTGATGACAAAACGTGAGCCAATGAATCGGCTTGCTTGATTCTTGATGATTTTGGCAGCGGCTCTTCCCGTCCAGACCTGAACTGCACCCTTACCCTTTAGGGTTTCCCATTCTACCGTCTTGGCAGCATCAATTTTCGTTTGAAGTTCAGGCTCGTGACCGGCTGGAGCGAGCTCCTTTTGAGCCCTTTTTTGCAAAAACGCGGCCATATAAACATCAACCGGACAATGCTCTCCCTCTGGCACGGCTGACAAAACCTCTTGGCAAAACAATCCTTCTGAAATGTCATCATGTTTGGCTCTATGTGTTGGAGGCTCTTGGGACTCTTCCCGAGTACTCACACTACGTTTGTGACCACTAGTTCTCGGACTATCTTGCTCAGGAGGGTCAGGCAGAGGTGAAGATGGTGACAACGGAGGAGACGACTCACCTACGTTCTGCATCATTTCCAGAAACTCTTCACTGTGATCTTCAACTATCCGGAGGGGCTGAAAGCGTTCTGGCCCCTTGAAGGTGTGTCGTACACGCATCGGACCATATCTACCATCTTGGAGCTTGTCTGAATTTGAATTTCGGTCAGTGGGAACAGCCGATCGAGGCACCGGCGGATCAGGCATGACTGACTCCTCAGCTTGTTGCTGTTGGAGATTCTCTGCAGCAGTCACGGCACCTGACAAGGACTGATTTTGGACGGCTTCTGACACGACATCAGGGTCAGGTGGATTACCTTCAGGGATTAGGTCTGTGAACTGACTTTTAGGAAACTGTCCTTTCTCCAGCAAGTTCTTGATTGCTAACAGCTCATTGTCAGAAAATTCCGCCACTGTTTGTTCAGACTCGGTTGCAAAACGAAGTTGTTCAGGTGAACATCGATAAATGCTGCGTCGATGCGCCACAATGAGGTTTCTTCCCAGGTTACCTAACACCATTGCAGCTCCATGCCATTTGCCCCCACGTTCTAGTTCTCCTTTATTCCATTTTTGGGTTCTCCAGTAATAGACCCAGTCCCCTGATTGAAAGGCTCGATGAGGTCTTGGTCTTGCACGAATTGCTGCTTTCAGGGCTCGATTGTCCTGTGCTTCCAAGACTGCTTTGCGAGCTGCCATCCGGATGGAGTGTGCTTTATCCATAGCTGATTCAGAGTCGGCTGACTCAATGGCATTCAGATCAGGGTTGTCTTGCAACAAATCTGCAGGCAGTTTCGGATTCCGACCAAACACCATCTGATAAGGGCTCACTCCGGCAACGGACAGCAACGCATTCTTTGCGGATTGTGCATGGATAACGCACTCAACCCACTTCTCCGGAGTTTCCGGCCGAACTTCATCGATCACTCGTGCCAAAATTTGCTCAAACCATGACCATGACGCTCCACCTTTCCCAGTTGATAATGAGCTTCGGTTGCAGTCTGAAGCTGTTTAATACCAAAACCTTCACAAAAAGAGGACAAAGCATCACTTACATTCGGCTTGGCAGGGTCAGTGATCAAATATTCCGGTGCTCCGGCCCAAGAGATCCAGCTATCACGCAAAACGCCTTTCAGCAGCTCAGCTGTTTCACGTTCAAAGATGGGTGCACACACATGGAGAGAGGTTCCATAGTCAACTAGATTGACACAGGGAATGGACTGGTTGGGCTTCCATCCCGGCATGTACTTCACATCTAAACCTAGTTGATGATTAAAGTCCACACATCTTGGAACATTGGCCGGCAGTGCACTAGCTGGGCGAACGTGATTCGCACACACTGAGCATTGTAGTTCCTGGGCTGCTTGGATGGCTTGTTCTGAAGCCTTGCTGTGTTTCAACAAGCGCACAAGTTCGGCAGTGGAGGGATGGCCTAGGTTCTTATGTAGCTTATAAATAGCATTCTTTACCTGGATACCCCCTTGTTGATTATGCTGATCATCTACGACTTCTTCAGAGGCCAAACATTCAACATCAAGCTCTGCATATTGGAGTTCATGAATTGTGGAAGGCATGGCTACACCCGCATTAGCGAGTTCCTGCAGCACAGAAATGCAAAACTTTGGTGTGTATGTCGCTACAAAGTCGCTCAACAATTGACCAGACTTCAATCTTCCTGCCACTTGCTTGTGCTTTGGACATCCGGGACACTGCTGCATATGCTCGGCAATCTGCGGTCTGGAAGTCATCAGACCGGTGGCTTTCTGTATTGGCAACTCAGACTCTGGACAACACAAACCATAGGCACACATGTCTATGCGAAAGGTTCCAAACTTCCTACGCAAACTTCTCATTTCAGGTGCATGCCAGACATGTGATGGCCATGGATGCTCAAACAGAAAGTCACCCCCTCTACGCAACTGATTGTGAATTTCATCGATGCAAAATCTCAGACGTCTCTTGTTGTTCCGCATCAGTTGAGCCCGTTCCAAAGGGGTCCTGTAAAACTGGTTCAGATTCTCCCAGCCCCCTTCGTGAGCGCATGGTGGACATACCACCAACAGTTCCGGTCGTGCATCTTCCAGTTCTTGACTGACACGCTGCTGAGTCTGCCTATCTAACAGATCGCAACCTTGTTTTATGTCATAGGCAAGACCCTTCTTCCCCATTGATTCAGCAATTTTGGAAAACCGTGGAGGGGAAAACACTTCAGCAACCAGAACTTTAGATTGTTTACTATTGTCATGTTTATGCATTTGTGCAAGCAAACATCTACACTCCTTTTGTTTGAGGGTAACCTTTCTTTTCCCCCCGTCCTTGGGCTTCATCAATCCATTCGAAGAGGCAGCTGAACATCCAGAGGTTGCTGGGCTCGTTGAAGACACCGATGGTTTCACCTGGACGGTAAGCTCAGGAGGAAACCGCATGAGGTCAATCACAATCTGACCAGCTTCATTTGTGCACATGTCCTGAGACCCTAAATCCAGAAATTTGATCTTGTTGTTCTGAAAATCCAGATGTACATTCAGCTTTTCCAGTGTAGGTCTGCCCAACAACAAAGGTGCGCTGCCACCAATGATCGCTGCTTCAATGAGACCATATTTCCCATTCAGACCTACTGGCAACCGAACTGACTGTGTGGCTGTCTCCAGTGCCCCATTGCCAAATCTAAACTTGTTCTCTGCGGAATACACCTCTCCAGCAGGCAGATTGCGTTCCCTCAGCATATCCTGAAAAACAGATAGCGTTGACGACCCAATCAAGGTCTTGCCACATCCACTGTCAATGATCCCTTTTCCAGGAGACGATGTCAGTCCCGCAGCCAGAGACTCGGCTGAATCTCCAGACGCACAGCACTCGGCGGCACCTATGAATTGGACTAGCCCTGCGGAGCTAGCGGCAGCACCATCAGACTTGGTGCTGGACTGTTCTTTGCATTCTCTGGCCCAGTGGCCAACTCGGCCGCACTTTCTGCATTTTGTACGACGCTTGAGCTCTTCTACATCTACCCTAAAGGACCTGGAAGTCGAGGAGGATGAGAACTTAGGCTGCCCAAACCTCCTGGATTGGTTGACCTTCTGAATCTCCTTCCTACGCTCTTTCCATGTGACCGCCAGAGCTTCGGCTGCATCGCTCTCTGAAACTTCTCCAGTGTCAGATTCGACGTGGATACCATGGTCCGCAAGGAAGGCTTCCACGTCCTGAAACTGCTCATCATCAGGAGATGCAGTGATAGTATCAGAGCCATCTCGCTCCTCCACCAGCAGGGACCCAATCGCCTTTTTGGCTCTCGGATTCACGGCCTTATATGACGGGAAGCAGGACCTCAAAGCTGCTGCAATGGTGTCATAGTCAAGCTTGCCCTGAGATTTCGCCTTGACTATGGCCTTCTGTTCCTCTGACAAACCGCAGCAGTGAAGGGCTATCCAGCCTCGGGCTTGGGCCGGAAAATCGACGCCAGCGCGTCTGCTACATCTGTCGCATGCATCTTTGACTCTTGCTACCCATTCTTTGGTGGATTCGCCGTCCTTGGCGGCCAATCCAAACACTTCCCCCAGGCTTTCTCCCAAAAGGTCAGTGGATTCCTTTTCGGGGAATCGTCCATGAAGCACCTGCCACAGCTTGTCCTCGCCGTCTTCCGTTGACATTTCCTCCAGCGTCAAGTGCTCAACGCACTCCAAGGCGCTTCCTTCTAGGAGAGTATAAACCCAGGGGCCCCTTTGTGATTTCTGCAAATCCTTTACAGTCATCATCTTTGCTTGGCACCATAGTTTACATCGTTTCAATTGCTTCCCAGCATCATCACTGTCGCCACTAAAGCGACCGAAAGTCTTCTCATCGGCCATGGCTTTTGCTGAGCCCCAGGTGGGGCTCCGCTACCAATGTCAAACTGGCAACGGGCCCCACCTGGGGCCAGCACTCGCACGGTTCTCTTTCCTCGCCCTCGAGCAGAGTTCCACTGCGGTTGGATATGGACCTGTCTATGGTACTGCATGCAAGGGAACACATGAAGGGTGATTTCACATATATATATATATATTATATATTATATATATATAATATTTATATAATATATATAATATATATAATGATATATATATATATAATGATATACATATTATATATATATATAATCATATACATATTATATATATATATATATCATTATATATATTATATATATTATATATATTATATTATATATATATTATATCATATATATTATATATATTATATATATTATATATTATATATATTATATTATTTATATATTATATTATATATATATATATTATATATATATATTATTATATTATATATAATATAGTATATTATATATTATATATTATATATTATACCATATAAATTATATATATTATATACATATATTATGTATATATATATATTATGTATATATATATTATGTATATATATATTATGTATATATATATAATTATATATATATATATATTACACTGTGACGATAGTCCATCTGTCGTGTACTGCATCACCTCATTGCATCACAAGTCACATCATCCCTCTCTAAGCATGGATCATGAGAAAGTCAGTGGCTGTCAAACCTCTTCGCTGCATAATTCAGTTGCAATTCATTTTAGTATAGAGGAGTATTTTCAATTAGTCTGCCTTTCAATTTTCTTCCACAATTCCATTGCTACATTTGTTGGGTGCGGTATCCGGGGGTGTACTCTGTGGGAGTCAGATCCCAGCAGCCATTGTAGCAATCAGAACCGGGTGCGAAGAAGTTGCGACGGCAATTCATGTGTCAGGCCGCAAGCCCCCTGTGCTAGAGTGCCTCATCAAAAACCAGCGAACACTGACGAACTTATGGGGGCCTTGCAATCTTGGCTTGTTACTTCCACCGTGGATATTTGTCAAGTTCAAGGCATCATCAATCCCAGTTTGCCGCAATCAGCGCCCCATGAAATGAGACGCTCATCAACTCCATTTGCAAAGCCAAGTAGCACACACGCACCTTAGATGGAACGATGTTTTTGTTTGTGCTGGCGACTGCCGGAATACGTAAGGGAGCTCGAATTTTCTCCGTGATTCTGCTAAGCAATCACTATGCATGACACGCAAGCCAGTTTTGGGGTTTGGGACTGGTGGGTTTGCCATGTCTTGTCAAGATGAAACGGTACCACAGTGTCAAAAACGAAGTGACAGCATCACACCTTATCCCTGCATCTGGTAATATCTGGGACCTTGAATGCTGCTGTCCTCTCTGGTTTAGCCTGGTTGCTGGCATGCCAATCCCCAAACCCTCTTCTGCAGCTTCCTCAGCTGGATCCTCTTCGTCACCTTGCAAGGCCAAACTAAACGTGGGAGAAGTCCTTCGTCTCAGGCTCAGGGTAGCAAAAACGTTTTTTTGTTTGTCACGGATAGGTGATGGTGCTCTGAAATTCTGCGAATATTCTTCACACCAGCATTCTTGCCGGAGCATTCCGCAAACACAAGCTGACGCTGACCATAGCTGACCTGCCTCCATCGTCAAACCATTCCGCGTCATCATCGAGGCCACCGCCAGCCCCAGACCCGTAGCCACCAGCACCACCGTAGCCGGCACCGAAGCGGCCACGACGTCGCCGACCTCGACCTGCAGAGAAGTCGTCAGCGAATGTCAGCGACAGCAGGTCTGACAAATGTGTATATAGGTCTTCAGCTTTGACAAATTTTACTCAGCTGATGTCTTGAAACACATGAGCTCAAATGAATCTGGACTGAACCTGGACCCTATTGAAATCAATCTCTGCAATGTCTCCATTGTATCTCCATAGTATCTCCATCACAGGGATGTCCTGACCTGCGCCACCAGCTCCACCGCCACCAGCTCTAAGGATGCCATCCGCCCCAGCGCCACGGCCATCTCCACCGCCTCCCCGCACGCCTGGGAAGGGACAAGGCTCCTTGGGTTCATCCCCAGCTGAAATTGGAGTGCTGCGTCACATCACGAAGTTACTCAAGCCTCACCCATGCCCAACACCTGCCTCCAGCGGCTCCACCTGATCCGAAACGGACTTTGTGTAAACCATCAGACCGACTGGGAAATCATATCGCTAGACGTCGCTAGATATCACTGGAATACATATAGGCATCCACTATCAGTAACTATCAGTCAGTATCATTCAGTTCTGGATTTGAAACCGATCCGCCAAACTCAAAAAACGCAAAGTATCGCAAAGTCATAGCAGCCCTCCCGCGATCCTTCGGCCAGGCGCCGTCGCTGCTTGGCCAGGAAGCCTTCAGGTGTCGCTATCAGCTGCTGCAGAGGACTTGAAGGAGGTTGGCCTTCCTCGGAATCATCGCGTCTTGTAACATGTGACATCTCCAGATGCGAAAAGAATATAACGGAGTATAATGGTATATTGATTCAATACATATGACTCAATGGCATGAAATATGTTGCCTTGGTCAGGGGTGGATTGCAACACCTTCAGACTTCTCAGAATCGATTCACGACAAAAGGATTCCAACAGCTCCAAAAAGTGTTGCGCCACCTTAAGCTGATTCGAGGGGCCCAACCAGGAGGATTGTGGGCCAAAACTGGATAATTCAGACCTCGGAGACGAAGCCGGATGTGCTGGCACAACTTTGCCAAGGGGCAAACAAGTTACAATCACATCAAATCCACTACCTGTCACGCCAGTCTATCACTAACAATGTGGAATATGAGTGGTTACTGGGATGGTGTCATTGCAGACATCTGCTCAGTCTGGCACCACTTGCAAGCAATCCACCTCAAATGCTGCGCTCAAAAGCAGTTTGAATCCACTTGAACCATTTCTAGCCCTTGAAGGAGTTGCTTTTCCGCACGACCTACAATTTGGACTTTCTGCAGGCAATCTTTGGTGACAGCAACGTGCGGATTGACATCAAGTGCACAAGCCACAGAGTCGCAAAGCCGTTTCCGTCACACGCCGAGGGACTGGTAACTCCGCGGACTGGAAAAGTGGAGTGTGGAAACGGATTCTTGCTAAGAACCTTGAGCGAAGCTTGAGGCATCAACATGGTACATGATGCAACACTCAGCAAAAGAGTCAAGGAAATTTGACAGCACCTGGCCTGACTGCCCCAAGCCTATGATACTGTACTTTGGTGCAATGAGCCCAGCCGGGAGGGTTTACCTGTGCTGCTTCCAAGCCACCGGCGGCGGTGGGTAGCGCCTTGGCAAGAACTGGATAAACATGTGCCCTGAGTTGGATGGACACCAAGATGCATCCACAAGATGTACTGATAAGATCGCATAAGTATGCAAGCTGCTCCTGGCTGATCCTTTCAGTGTGATTTTTGGACTCATGAAAGCTACAGCCTTTCTCGAGGTTGTCCCAAGCTTTTGGGTCAAAAAGTATCAAACAGAGCTACCGTGTGGCCCCTTCAAACCCGGGATGCTCTGCGCCACGGCACTGAACCTCCGCCATTGGACGTGTGGGGGCCGGGCCCAGCACACGCGTGGTTTAACAGCTGAAGCCAAAGCTGCAGAAGCATGACCCGGTTGGTGATATCATGTGACGTTTATATATGTATACAATATAGATAATATACATATCCTATGTATATATATTATCAAATACTTATATATTACAAATATAAATATGTGTATATATATAAATATATATAGATATCAAATGTTAACCATTCATAATAATTCATTCATCTTATTTATGGATATTAATCGCTTATCTTCACATCAGCCAATTCTCAGGACCTTCTCGCAGTCGAAGTCCCCCTTCGGGGCTCAAAGCCAGTGGCTTCACTCAGGGTTCACTGACCGCACCACCATCCCCTTGGCGACCGCTACTTGGCCAGCTTCCCTTGCATCCAGGGCGACGGCACCAGGGACGGCCTCAAAGGATGACTATGATGAACACAGGGAAGGGAAGGGAATCAATGCAACAAATTAGTGGATGTTTGAGCTCAACTTCAAAAGCATCTAATCATATCATATCCAATCATATCATATCTAATCATTGCTTGGGCATTTCGGATTCACAACGATGTCCATGTCGGCTTCCAAACTGACTCACTGTGCAAAAGATACTGATTAGCTTGTCGGTAATGGGTCTACAGGCTTCCTGGTCTACTGCCTGTCAAAATCTCAGGAATTCAGCCGTTGTTGTCTGGTGCGCTGATTTGGCTAACTTGAGGGCGCTTTAGAGAACACTAGGAAGATCATTTGCATCACACAACCAACCCTTCATCACCCCAATCACCTTTAGAATCCGTTTAATCTATCACGTGCTCTTACAATCTTGAAGGGAGCCAATCTCCTGGGTACAGTATTTTATTGGTATTAGTGAGAAAACGAAAAGGGACCAACTGTGTAAATTCAATGCATGATGCATGTCTGGTACAAAAGTTGGTGCAAAGAAGCAGTCCAGGCTGAGTGTTGTGTTCGCTCTTAACTGCTGATTTGTAGGCCCAGTAGCGCGAGTAGGTGACTCGTGTCCTTGCCCGTGTCCACGAAGTACCTTGAACAAACATGGCAGAAGTGCAGCTGCATCACTTTTAAGCACCTGTTTGGGCAACTGAGTTTGGCCAGCTCTGAACCAGGAGCTATTGGACCCAGCTTCCAAGTACAAGATCATACATGTACAGATCCTACAGTACATTATTCTACACGTTTTCTATCAAATAGTTGTCAAAATCCATATTATGATCGTACAATATTGCACATGTTGCACATGTACATTTGCAATCATTTGCACATGTACCACGTGAAGATAGCCCAGCGCACTTGCGGAGGCGCGCTTTCTCTTTCTGGTCAATGTTCCTCAGCTCCATGGCACCATGGAAGTGTCGATTTCCGCTGGAGATATATCTCTGATCGTTAGTAGGAGATATTTCTTCTAACAAGTCTGCCAGGGCTCTTCTAGAATCTTTCAAGCCTGTGGGGTCGGCCTTCTGTTTGCAGACCCACAAGGTCATTTGGCCAAGGTGTTGAGTGATTGCAAATTGAGTGTAAACATTCCTGCACGCAGACTCTGAAGGGATACTTCCCTCCAAAGCGACTGTGAAAATAATAAAGTCTCGTAACTATCACATGCAAGTGAAAAGTGTCCTGTCTGAAAAAACAATCATGGCTGCAGATTCACGATATATTCTACATCCCAAACTCACCGCACAAACCTGACTAAATATCACTCTCGTATCTCTCGTCAAAGGTTTTTTGTTCCCCCGAGGTGATGATCGATGATCTAAGTGCTTCACCACAATACATCCTCTGTCAAACGTTTGCCGTCGATGTTCCTGGAGCACAGCAGTTCCCATCGAATTCGAGCACGTGGATGTTCCGATGGCCACCGTTCAACTCGTTTTTGAGGTAGTCATGAAGGCAAAACAAGACACCAAAGGAATGTGTTCATGAAAATGTCCCAGTAGACTGCGCTAGTCCCATCTAATCCCTTTGGACTTCAACTCTTGTCGCTAGCTGCCATTGAGGCAGACGCGTGGTGGCGGCGATCTCGACACTTTGTGCTTGCTCCGTAGTCAAGCCGTACCTTGCTCTGTAACGCCAAACAACCCGCTCTGGGTCAAGAAAAATTGCTGTTGATAGGTTTGATATGTCTAACATGGTCTAACATTGACTAGGAAGGTTATTGTGGCTAGGTTCGAAAATATTTAAAGGTTTTCAAGAAAAGTTCGGAAGGATTTTGCAGAGTGGCTTCCGCCACACATAAAACTCTAGGGCTCTGGCTCCTCGAAGAGAAGCCGATGCAAACGTGTTCGAATGCCTGACAGCAGGCGTTGTGATGATGATGGAGGCCGGTTGTCACAGTGATTTGAGAAGTTTTGATGATGAGATTCTTTGACTCCTCTTGAATCCCGAGAGCAATATTTCTCTGCCCAAGTTCAGCGGTCTGGAAAGTTTCATTCCATTTTATTCCATTCTGTGCGGTTGCGCCGCCTTCAGGAAAGGTGAAGTGGTGTTGGATGATGTGCACCACTGCCTAACCAAGGACAGGGTGAGAGTTCTCAAGCACCAAGATGCACCATGATGCACCAAGGAAGCTAGGAGGAGCACACGGTGGCAAGGGCTACCAGGCTACCAGCGGCTACTGGTGCCATGTTCCGGGCCAATGCTTTGCATGTTGCACTGAGGAGACCCACGTCAATGATCACTGGAGAAAGCTGTGGCCTGCACAAAGGTCTGTATATATAATTAATAAGTGTTCACCCTGCAGAGGCCATGGCTGCTGATGCCTTCAACACAACATCTCAATCGGGAGTTCATGAGTTCATGCAGGAGTAAATGTTTGACCCTGTGGGTGCTCAATGAGGGTGTCCGATCTGAAGCTGTTTGGGCTAACTGTGGCTACACTGCGGCTACCCTGCTACACCTCTGCATCAATGAAAGGATGCTATTCGCTATGAAAGCATCTGAAATACTGTGCACACCTGGCTTGGGCGGTGGACAGCATGAATTTCTCTACTTTGAACTTCAGGACAAATATCTGCATATATATATATTATAATATATACATATAATATATATATATATATACTATATATATATATGATTATATATGTATGTAGCCAGACTGTCCAAAGCTTTGCTATCTTTGCTGGAAGCGCCGATCTGATGGGAGCACCCTGCCGCAGTTCCCGGGAGCACCTCTCCATATACATGATCTTGGCGTTGGTGGGGCTAACTGAGCACAGCAATGTGGCACTGCAATGGCCCTCATGGCCATCTCAAAGTCAAAGGGGGACCATGCACTGCATCGATACTTCTCTCATGGGAATCGCATGAATCTCATTGTGCTAAAGCACAAAACTCCTTGCGCGGCTGTTGATACGTCAGCTAACAATCCCACGGAAGTAGGTTCAGGTGGTTGTGTTCTGTGAGTGTACCCGTTCTTTCATCACCTAACCAGACGCTTCACAACTCTCACCATGTCCTTTCTTCACCACCACCACCACCAGCAGCAGCATCATCATCATCATCATCATCTCTTAGATCATTGCCCCATCAAGTCGCATTCAGCTGGGTCGCCGGACCCCCGGGTTTTCGCCCTGTGCTACCGAAGTTGATCGGCTCCGGTGCCCCACCAAATTGGCTGCTCGTGTCTGGCACCTCGAGACCAGCGGATTTTAGTGGCCATGTTGGTCGATGGTTTTTGCCACCTCGTGATCCAAGATCCTCCGGAGATCAAAACAGAGTCAGATGAGTTAGGTTCGTTAGGTTGTATCAAGGCAAGAGTTTGGAGCCGCAATGTGTGTTTCGCATTGTTTCGCGCCGATTTCACACCATGGACATGGCTTCAGGCCATGCTTCAGCCTGGTCTGTGACCAAGGCACATTCACAATGACACTCCTGTCCTGGTAGGTGATGCAGGAACAAAACCATGTCCGGGAGACGATCGAATGACATGTGTGGTACCTAAAGACATCTGTATCCAGCACATGTATTACTGTACATTGTATTTTTAATTGTATTACCAAGATTTACCAATACTATTGGTATTACGATGTCAAAATTGTCAAATTGAATTTCCACTTCCCGGGTTGGTCACCAGTCCTGGAGCTCTGACTCCGTGGCAGTCACTTCTGGACTGTGCAACCTGAGGGCAGTACGATTGAAATTTCATCAAATTATGAAACATGAGATTTCAATTTTCAATCAAACAAAATTGGGAGATTAAAAATTGAAAATTGGGAAGGTTAAGATACTTTAGGTTAAGCAACCGCAAAATATGGGAACAGGCAAAAATTTGAAACCCAGGAATCTGCTAGTCATTTTTTGCAGGAGAGCATCTCATGCTCGGGGTTTCCCGCATGGCACCTACCCCAACAGGCCACACAGGAACCTTTCGGCAAAGTAGGACTGGACACTGAGATCTGGAGGCGGCACTCGACGCACGTGGAACTGCCCCTTGATTCTGGGCTATGATTTTGTTGCAGGGGGTTTTAAACGGTAGCAGTCACCAACCCCATTTGACTGCCATTTCAACATCTGCACATGCACGAACCCATCACGGTAAGCTGGGGGTCAGAGCTCAATTGCGGCGCAAAGAAGCACAGCATCCAATTGCGCCAACTTCACCATGTCCTGTGAGTGGTGGAAAATCTGACCCTGCTGAACATCCCCAACTAATAGTACTGTAGATCACTCAGTTTCTTGTGTCAGCCTCCTCAATCTGCTCAATGGAGTCAAGTATCCAAAAGCATGACTTTAATGACCAACCTCAAAATGCACAGGGTCAGCAAGCGCCTCGCCCAAGCCTTTCTGCCTGCTTTCTGGCGTTGGCTTTGTCTTGGCCAAGGCCCAAGCCTTTGGTCGGGAGAGTCTGGTTAATTTGTGTTTCAGAGTGAGGAATCCATCCGAAGGCCCAAAGACTTCTCCGGTCAAAACCAAATCAGCAACCTCCACCTGCCAATTTCAGAAGTTTTTTTCCTAGCTCTCCGTCAAGTCATGACTACCAAACATCAACTGGGAGCGATACGCGCAGATTCTGCGCCCCATTGAGCGGTGGTATCTCGTCACAGTGCCATGAGGATGAGAATCAGATGTTCAAATGAAACGCGTTCTGTTTTGGGAGGCTAAGAATGAGTCCTCCCTCATGCGGATTAAAATTAGATGCCAAATATTGCCAAATCCTTCACTTTGGATGGCATCAATGGCATCACAAAAAGATACAAAAAGTACATACCCCTTTGATCTCTTTGGTAGATTCATGTAGATTCGGTCTTTTTACGAGTGGAGGTTCTGTGGAATGGATGTGGTACTGACAAGAATCCAATAGCAGAAAGAGGAAAGGAATGTGCAGAGTCCTTGAATCCTCAAGCGTTTCTGATGTTTCTGTACAGATGATTCAATGATCGATGATATTTGTCAAATTTACATCAGCCAGCACGTCAGCCAATCCGATGAACCAAAATCCAGTCCCCGTAACATCTGCCATCAGAGTCCATCACCTCTGGCAGTTGGAGGTTCAGAGCCTCCATGTCATCAAATAATTCCTGCCTTGGTATGCTGATAGATCTGGAGACGGATACAACAGGCAGAAGATTGGAAGTAAATCAGTTGCAGGAGCACAGAGAAATTGCACAGGCAAGGAAGGGGGGTTCCACTTGTCCCCTCAAGCATGGTAAAACAGTTGAGGCAACTCTCCCATACAACCATGAATCATGCACCTGGGGGGGGCAATGCACCTGAAGGGGCAAAGCCCCCAGCAAGTCTGCTTCTTAGACTTTTCCGCAACTAAGTCAGATGTGGTGCTGCACCAGGTGCACTTCGCCCACCGCAATCAGGTGCCCCGACAAGCTGCAGGGTGTTTCCCGCCTAAGGATCAAATGAGCTGAAACAGGGGATGTAAAAAAAATTGTAGTCTTCTGTTGCAAAGTAACTAAAAGCTCATTCACATGCAGCCAATTGGCCAGACATCATATCCACTACAAGCGTGATCCTACTGAAGCAAGGCAATGAGATGGGTCAAAGTTTTAGACCCAACAAAATGATTCCGACAATTCTCACACGTTCATAGATGTTCTCACTAAAATGACCATGGGTCGCTGACCAAAAGATCCAAAAGCCATGGCCAATCTGAGGCCCCATGCTGACTCTGACGCAAGAAGTTGGCCACGAAGATGGTGTCCACGGCCATGGCCAGTTGTTCCTGAGATCAGCTGTGATCAGCTGTGATCAGCTGTGATCAGCTGTGATCAGCTGTGATCAGCTGGGGCTTGAATCAGTCTGAATCGGTCGGAATCATTGGTTTCATTGGTGATCAAGAGCTGGGATGGTTGAGAATCCGTTGCACAGATGGGGTCCAGGGCAACCAGGGTACAAAATTCAACAAGATGCTGCAAGAACTCTCATGGCCAGTTCTGAGCTCGAAGCATTGCTCTGTACTTGTGGAGGTGTCCTACAACAAGGCTTTCCCTGCTTGAAGGGTTGGGTCAGCGTAGCTATCGCACCATTCTTGAGAAAGTTTAATGAGCCGGTGAGCTCAATCTCCCAAGTGGCTTCCGCCCAACCAAAAATCCAGGCCGAAAGTGGGAAGGCATTGCCCTTCTGGATGTCACATAAAACGTCTGTCATATTATATTCAAGCGGGAAATTGATATGTGCACAAAGGTCACCAAGCCACCTGTCTATCCTCATACAGTTCTGTATTTTGTAGGTCTCTCCGGAATGGTGGAATGGTAGCTGCGCTAGACTACCATGCTCTCTGAAGACTCCATGTGGGAGCTCCGTTCACCAAGACAGTCTGAGCTGCCCCGCAGCGGGCTATCAATCTGTGAGAAATGGACCTGAAAGTGATGCTGTCTGATTGGCAAGAGATTCTCAGTCAAGCAAAGGGGGCAACTCCAAGCACCTGTGGAATTTAGTTGGTCTTCATCTGTCGGTGTCGGGCTAAAGATTATTGGCCACAGCACATGATCTATTTCACCTGTCTAAAAGATTCTCCAACGCAAAGCAAGGCCGCCATTGCAAGCAGATCGTCAGTCCCTCTGGGCATGTGGCACTTCGCATTGGATCGCAGCTTCCTACGTACCTTGGACAGTGCCAAAGAGCACCTTCGAGTAAAGTCCACAAAATGAACAGAATTTCAACAGAAAACTCACAGAATCATCAAAAATCCACGATTTGAGTCTTTGGAGTCTGGCCCCTCCGGCCTCTCCGGCCTCTCCGGCCTCTCCGGCCTCTCCGGCCTCTCCGGTCCCACAACTTGGTGACCCGTGCTCCAAAAAAGCCCTGTGTGCTTTGCCCAGAGATCGGTAGAGTTGATCTGCGATGTCCTCAGCAAAACTGGCACGGTTTCGGCAAGATGCTGGGTCTTGTCCATCAAGCCTCCAACAACCTACTGTCTAGCTATTCTACATATTACATAATTCTATACCAATCTATATATATATATATTATATTATATATATAATATAATATATATATATATAATCATATCTATACACAGCCGGAAGGCCAATCTTGAATAGTGGAGACGCCTTTTTGTCCTGATGGACAGCCAGTCCGAGGCATGGACATCTAAGACGCTCTCCAAGTGCAGGTGTGCACCTACGTTCTGCTGTACCTGTGCCATTACAAGCTGAACGATTGGAACGGCCTGGAACAACCAGTGATCAAAATCATCTTCGGGAACCATTTCATTTTTTAAGGTTCTTTGCTGAATTTAAGGGATGTGGTCATCCATTTTGATACTGAATCTCACTCTTATATCATGCATGCTACCAGTATGTTAAGGCCCTCCGGGCGTCGCAAAATGTCGCAAACAATGCGGGCCTTCGTATCAAATATGCTGTCGCACTCCGCCTCTGCGCATTCTTGCAGCACCTTGGACCAGAAAAATAACGGGTCCCTGCAGGTAGCTGAAATATGCTGAAATGCTGTTGTGAATCCCGTGAGTAATTCTGGATGAATTCAAATGAAACACGAACGAGTAGCGAAGTGCTTTTGTCATCCCAAAAATCCGATGCCACCGTACCATTGCGTTGGATCAGCCAATGAGCCCCAATCAAATGGATCGACGTCTTGGCAGAGGGAGCTCAGGGCCCTGAGGCTGCCACGACGTACTGCATCCCCAGGATGATGTTCCTAGCTTCGTAGATTTGGCGCTGGTCATGTTCACACAAATATCGCTGCACAAGTGATTGGCTTAGAAGTCTCGAAATATATGAAATATAGGAAACCTGTATAATGAAACGTCTGCAGCGTTTGGCGTTTCGCAGTCACTGCGGTGATGAATTCACCATTGTTTTCTGATATTGAGAGCTTTACAGTCAAAATACGGTTTCTCTACTTTGGCTGGCAGCACCAAGAACAAGGAAGAGTGCTCAACAAAACGAGTATGGCACTGATGATTTTGCTTCTGTTGTGTTTCGCACACGGGAAATCGCATTCATCGGAATCGCATCACAGTGATACCAATCTCTCCAACTTGGAGGCCTTAAGGAGCACATCTTGTAGTCTAATTCGCAACAAGCGGAGTGAAGTCCTCAGTTGTCATGGCCACTGAGTGCAAAATTCAACCATTTGCGTAGTTCTGCAGCGTCAGGTGATCGCACTGGTCGGACTTCTGCCAAGCTGCGAAGCAACCATCGCAACTTCAGAAGCACCTTGATCTGGGAAAATGACCTGCAGCTGAGAAGTTGATATTGGACCGATATCAAATCTCAAAACGGCCTTTGAAGCAGCTTGCATTTCTAAAACCTGGAAACTAATGCAAACTCCATCAAAGCCAAGTCGCCCAGTGAATTCTTCAATGCTGTAGGATGCTATTGGGAGCCATTTACGGTTTGCAAGGAAAACTTGCAGCAATAAAGCTTGTAACGACATGTTCCAATCCTTTCACCTCTCAGTTCCCTGCTTGGTTGGCGTCCTCAGCGCTACATCAGTCACTGGCGGCTCGCCCCTGCACAAGGTTGGGACAAAGAGTTGAAATTGTGGAAACAATGCAACACGCATCACGCAGCAACGCGCGGCAATAAACAAAACTGCATCTCAAGAAGACAATTCTGAACACAAAGCGGCAGCAGATGGAGAAAGGCCGGTATCTCATCCCTATGCAACATGCCTGCGACCAGGCACTTTCTGCCCTCGACCTGAGCAAAGTTGCAACCCCTGAATCCGAAAGTAACAGGGTGAAAGAGTTTAAGCGTGAAGCCCATCAACTTGTAAGGTTTGAATCCAGGACGACTGGGGGTTGAAGTTGAGTTGCCTGCACTGCCAACAGATGTGAAAATACCAAGGAGATCAAAAGAGATGATCCCAACGATCAAGTGCAGAGCGGACCCGAGATGCAATCTGTATCAGTTCTGCAGCAACCGACATACATAAAGATTTAGGGTTCCCTACTCAGCGGTATCACATCTAGGTCTTGCCTCAGGCCAACTGACCCAAGATGTTGAGGATGATTCCAGGATGATCCAATTTGGTCTGATGACACTTTCAGGAAAGGTGATCTCCATTGAAGATACTTGCAACATCTTGCAGCATCAAATTAAACGTTCCCAATCTTGCAGCATGTATTGAATTAACTTGAGGTCTAATGTTCTCCAATGTTTTCCAAAAATCTGTGTGTGTGTGGCATTTGCATTGGCGCTTCAACGCTTGGACAAAGTATATAGAAGGCTCATGAAGCTCTACACTAAGTGGGAATTTGATGAAACCAATACCCTCAACATGCCTCAACCGATTTCTTCCTTCAGCAACCCTTTTGCTCGCTCTTCAAGCATAGTCTGCACATCGCCCTCTGTTTCTGACGTGGAAGCACCTTGTGCCTGATCCGACAACGAAATGGCAGGCCTCTTCTTTCCTGATGTATTCTTCTCAATGCTCGGAGAAGCATCTCCAGAAACCACAAGCGTATGGTTGCCTTTACTTGTCAGCGCATTGTTTCTGATTGTACCAGAGGATTTACCAGCAAATCTGATCGCTGGAAGATTCGCAGCAGAGACTGTATTTCTCTCCAGTGTGGGGCATGCAGAATCTTGGACTTGGATTCCAATGCCAGAATTGTTTTTCAAAGTGTTGCTTTGAACCAGCGCACGGGATGTGCCCTCAATGCAGATAGCCGCATGTTGGCATTCTTCCTTGGGACTCTGCATTTGTGGAAAGAGAAACTACAAGTGAATCCTGACATGGGAAAGACAGGCTGTGTGTTGCGCGTTCACCATACTTTTTATGTTCGACGATGTAAATGTATGCGGAAGGATTTCTAAAACCGCCTCGAAAGATACCTTTCCGAAACATGCATTCCCAAGATAATCATCCCAACACGAAATGGTCAAGAAGAGAACAACCAAAATGACAAAGGCTGCCATAAAAAAATAAGTCAACAGAAAAAAAAATGATGTCTGTTCACTTTGTTCACTTGGGTATGGGCCAGGCTCAAACTTCGATATGGTTCAAAACACTAGTAACCTTGTGTTCACACCAAAATAGCTCCTGGATGTTCATCCAAAATCAATGCTAGAAGGATGGGCTTTAATTCTGAACCATCCCCCCCTTAAAGCAAATGGTTGATCTCCAAGATATTCTCTTCGATGATGGGCATCTCGTCGCCGGAGATCAGTATCCCATAGCCATCCTTGGCGTTGGTTCCAAATGTTCCAGGCAGGATGCAGAAGTTGTACAAACAGAATCTGATGGCCAAATTGAGGCTATCTCTCATTATCATGCTGAAAACCCAACTGCTGAACAATGTCAAAGACATGAATGTGGTGGATTGCAAACTAGAGCTGCAAATGCAAGCAGCCAAGCATCGTTGCACTTCAAGCAATTTCTCTTTACTGTGGCACATGCACCTTGGAGCTCTAAAGAACCATGAATCATGTCTCCGGCACTTGCCTATCTTCGGGTATCCCACAATGCCATGTTGGAAGCTCTCGCCCCACAGAAAAGCATTGGTCATGATTGCAAAACAGCTAAAATTTGCGGAAAAACTGGTAAAAACAGATAGCTCAGGAGTGCTTAGGCAGCTTAGGTGCTGTCTTTGATGGCAATCACGCATCTCTTGGTTCCCTTCGTCAGGCTGACACCTTTCATCTGTCCACCTTCTCCGTCGTGTGCCATTCCGGCTCGAATGGGGTCCTTCAGCTTGTACGGCACATCCACGTTTCCAGACCTGAGGTGAATTGCGCAGAAAAAGAAACTACGGTCAGCACTCAGCACAAACCAAAAAATGTGGAGATGAAAAAGGATGAAGAATTGTGCACCATCCAACTCCAGCCGTGAAACTGATTCCTTATCATGGATTTTCCCTCATCAAGATCTGCCCACTCTTCTCCAGATTGTCCGCTGATGTAGGCCAACTTGTGCGTCAAACCGTTAGTCTCGTCCTCTCGCTTCGCAACCTCAGTTGAATGCACGGTCGACCAAAGTCTTCAGCGTTCTGACGCACGCCCTGAACTACACAGCGCCCAGTTCATCGAAAAGTACAGAGAGCCTATGCAATTGAGCTGCGATCTTGGCTTTCACAGCACCTGTACTGGCCTTGAATTCAATCACCGGCGCAGAGCGACCATTGTTACAAAAGTCGTTGTCTTCCACCATGATTCCTTTTGCTGTCCCATTGATCAAAAGCACGGCACCATCGTTGCGTTCCAGCCTAGGCCCACTGTCACTTAGGCTGAGGCGGTAGCCCCGCGTTCAGAGAGAGATTTGATAACTTATTTATACTGATAATATAATTATTGTATATATATATATATAAATATTCCTGCTTGGATAATCTTCATTCCATGAACTCTTTTTGGAGAAGAAACATGAAAATCCAGCAAAACGAGACTAGAAGGGTGATTCGCCGGGCAGAAACCAGTTTCTCCACCCAAGCAACCAAGCAACCGACTCTTGGATACAGATCCTGTTGCCTGATGTTGAAAGGCAACCGCAGACATCTTGTGGCCACTCAACTGGCTGCTGCTTATGTGAGCTGTGGCATCTCCACGCACCAAGATACCACAGCCATTGTTGGAATCGAGTCGGCTGTCTGACAGACCTCAAATTGTAAAAACATCTCACCGTAGTGGGGAAGTCCACTCGATGACTCCGCTCAAATCGAGTTCCTTCGCCTTAAGCATAATTTTAAGCTTGTTTTGTGTATGTTCTTCTTTCTATTTCGAAATTCAACAGCACAGGACCACGCCAAAAAAGGGGCTACTGCCGGGTTTAAGCTCGATCAATCCTAAACTCAACAGTTCTAAACATTCTAGGAACAAGACCATGAGGCCCTGAACAGGAATTCTCAGTGACAAGCAACGGAGTGTGGTAGAATCTCGCAGCTGTATCACTGGTGCTCCATTCTGCGTGAAAGTCCCCCTCTCCACCACCACGGTTGCAGAGTTTCTGGCTGCGATGCAAGTTCCCGTGTTTTCCTGGAAGGAACAGTCGCTAAGCTTCACCTGCCATGGAGCACCACTTCGGAAGGCGTCCATCCGTTGTGTTGAAACTGCACAGCTGTGTCCATCTCTAAAGGCTTCAAGGTGCTTCAAGGTGTTTGGGAAATTGATTGATTCTTTATTATTCTTCTCATTGAATGTCATTCTGGGCGAATCAATGTTTTTCGATAAAGCTGGGGCGCGAATCACGTGCCAAATCTGGTTTCGAACCTCCGCATCATCACGAAGGGACAAGACTGTAGATCCCATCGCCTCGTGCTGGAGCCGAGTCAGGCGTAAGTTGTAAAGTGACTTGTCGGTGATCTGTATCATTCTATATCTTTGGCAGAGACATTGCAACACAATGCAATACATGTATCATGATGTATCATGTATATACTTACAATATCAATATCATATCATATCTTTCAGTATCTGTCGATATCTTACAACACATCACTGAATAATCTGAATACAAACAGCTACACTCAGCTACACTGAACGAATTATTTTGGACCTTGGATCCCTTGGATCCCTTGGATCCCACCCAGACCCGCCTTGAAGCTGCAGTTTTCGATCTGCGGCTTGGCGCTACCTCTCACAGATAGAAAACCGGAGAGGTGGCAGCTCTTCAGGACAGCTCCGGTGACGATTTCTATGGAGCTTTCGATGTCCAAGTTGCACAGCTGCGGCGAGCCTGATGTGCTAGGAATAGTGAATGAATAGTGAATGAATTCTGAATGAAAACGATTGTGAATGCTATGACTATGATGCTCTTGAGACATCTTGAGACTATGATCAGAATACCTTTTAGAATCTGCGACAGGAGTGACAGGAGCTCTGAGTTTGGGGACTATCCGGACTCCCTGAAGAGTGTGCAAAACTATGGGATTGGGGTTTGGCACAAATTGTAAGGCCACAACTGCACAGGTAGTCACACATGGAGACACGCACTCATCACTAGTTGGTGCACAGTCATGCGGTGCAAATTCTCAAGTCAGCGTCAAACAGCCTCAACTAGGATCATTGGCTAAGTTGATACAGTATGACTCAGTATGATACAGTGGTTCTCCATGGTTTTCCATGGTTTTCCATGGTTTTCCAGTTCTGAGCTCGAGACCCCAAACGGTAACACCTGACTTTCAGGTCAAGTGGCCTGGCCCCTCACAGTTGACAGACAGTGGCCCATCATTCGAGGACAGCTGCACCTTGCCGTTGCCTGAACAGAGGGCAAGGGAAAACTGCTGCAATGCAACGGGAATAAACGGATACAAACGGACATCCTTCTCATGAGAAACATAGGATGCTTCAAACCGTTCACCTCTCATGAAACTGTACTCCTTCTGTGACATTTTTTCTGGTGAACAGGAGACAATGCATGTCTTTAGGAAAGGTTTCAAATATTTCAACCAACCTGAACCCGTGTGATATTGTGGATGTGCCCACTCCATGGCGACTGAAATCTTATGCTGAGCCCTTGCAGAAATGATTGGGTCTGGCCTCTCAAAGCAACAGGCTTATTGATGACAAGACCTTCTTCCACGTACTTCCCTCGGGCCAGAAGCACAGTGACCTCAACAATATTCACAGGTTCAGCACATTCACAGCTCTGACTTTGAGTCAGACAAAACAAGTCAGAACAATTCTACCAGTTTGCAGTATCTGTTATAGTTATGTCTCATTCAACATGTCACAGTATGTCTTTCTTCCAAGCGACTGGACACCAATCTGGAATCTCTGTCAAGGCCTCCGCGATGGTCGGACAGTCCCGTGGAACACAAATGGCAAAGCGCAGATAAGGCCAAATGAGTTTCTCCAAGTGATCGCCTCGTGCCACGGACCAAATGATGGGGCTAAAGCGGCTAAAGCGGCTAAAAGACAACAGGAGCGTCTCCCAAAGCACGGCCAAGTTGCGAAAATGCGTCCCAGCAGGCGCTATCCTTGGGGAAGCAGTGCTTGCTAATTCTGGAACACTAGCAAAACTACCATGCCCAAGAACTAGGAACGTGCAAAAATACAACAATTTTTGGTTTAGCTTAGCTGGTTGTATTATTAAAGCCTAGTGACCTAGTGTGCCCTTTGCAGTAAAAGAACTAACTGACTAAACTGCTCAACCAAGTTTTACCCAGCTGCGGCTCCAATGTCCACTGTCATCTTTTCAGTTTTTCTAAAGTGTGAAAGTCTTAGCAAATCTTAGCAATATCTTGAAGGTCAAGAGCAAAGGTGTCAGGGCACTAGTTGGGCACCATGTGCTGTTGAGGATCTTAGAGATGACCTGCAAGGTGGCTTGTCGTCGTAACCACTGCAGATAAGGCTGGACCCAAAGCTTCCCTTCAGCCATCTCAAGGGCCGGAAAGATACACCATGGCTTCAGACTTCACATGGGTGTTTCATCTTGTTTCATCATGTTTCAGTTTCAATATGTTTCATATCTTTTCAAACAGTGCTTCCATCTAAAGGTCAGAACTGTTCGCGCTTTGAGGCTCTGAGTCGATAAGGTTCATCGCATTTGCAGCAGACCATGATGTTGTTCTCTTAAGTGGTGGTCGAAATAAACATGACATTTTGGCTGACTGTCAAATTCCAAATGTTTTCAGTGGCAACTACTTGCCAATCATGCGAGGGTCAATAGATTGAGCTTATCTTCGTCTGGGAGTTGAGCGTTTACTAACTGTCTGTTACTTTAGTCTTGAACCTTGAGCTGCTTTAAAATGCATCAAACCAGCGGGCCCTTCAAGGTTTCTTGCCCCTCACTTGGGATCGAGAAAATCCAAGTTGGTGGGAGTCAGAAGACCAAAATAACAATGTTGGCCATTCATTTCAGCAACTTCCTTGTGAAGTGCCCTCTGAATCCTCTGATTCTTTGGAAGATTTTGGAAGCATTCACATCCAGAACCGGTCACTCTACAATACTTTACATCATCTACCAGGCACTGCCACAGCTGCAGATTTCCCAAAGATGGAACATTTGGAACGGAAGAGGGTAGGGACCATGGAACAGGATGGGACAGCATCTGATCATGGCTTACCCTGGTTACCTCCGATCTATTGCTGAGGCAACGACAGGTAGTAGCTCTGTAGGATACAGGTCTCTGAGCCAACACCCGTATGAACACGAACCAATCCCGGCATCACCTTCGGTCGAAACAGGTGCCCGAGCTTTCTTCGGGTTTCAAAGAAGTCATGGCAATTGCAAGGTCGTTTCATCAGTGTAAGAATCATTGGCATCATTGGCTCATACTAGTAGCTGCTTTAGTAGCTCATCTATATTATCATATACAATATTATCTGATATGCCCACGGGAGACTACAGTAATTATCTGAATTGTCCTGAATCCATTTTTCTGTAGGTCCAACGGAAATCGAAAGCCATTGTTTTCCGATGTTTTTCGATGTTTCTGTGCAGCCAAGCCTGCCGAAAGGTCGAATTGGTTCTCATGGACCAACTCCACACATTGGTGACCAAACCCACCAAGGTCCTCACCTGCAGAGTCCAGTGCAAATCTGTGAGGCGATGCAAATCTGGCGGAATCTGGCGCTGCTCCACACTGCCCCCGCCTGCTGTAGGATGTCCATCACATTTGCTACGCCTTACTGATCGCAGCCATCGCAGCCAAATCGCAGTCAAATCGCATTCGAGTTCATTGTTAGTCATTGTTCCAAGTGTAAAAATAGCATAAAAATGTATAAAATAGTTGCCTTTACTTCACAGAATTTGCTATGGACCCATCAGCTTGCGTCAACATGTTCGGCACTGTTTCTCTCCTCTGGGAAGTCATGGGTTTACTGCCCTTCGGCAGCATTCGGCAGCCCCGGCTGGTCCCCATGGACCGAGCCATGGCTTTGGCCCATTGGAAGCAGCGGGCTGAAGCTGCTCCTAAACACCAGAGCCATGACGGTTCCAACCGTGACATGTCTTCAACTTCAACTGATGGAGAAAATGAGATCTTAGAAGTGCTACGCAGCCAATCCCGCTCTGAACAGCTATGTTAGTCCATCCGAGAGTGATATTCTGCATCGAGCGAGACATAACAGATCTGTGACCTCCCAGCGACTTTCCAAATTACAACAGGTTCAAAGTGATCGTGGCCAATTACACTTTAGTTACTAACGTGATCGTGACACAAGTGTTTCAAGGGATGTTCCTAAAGTATCCTAAAGTGCAGGCTTCTGTTCAGCTTCATTGACCCCGTTGACCCCCCTAAAAGCGTAAGTGTCGTAAGTGCCTAATAGCAGATGTTGAAATCACATGAAATCAAATGAAATGACAGGATTTCTTGGATTGATGCCACGGATAATCCAGGAACTGATCCGACTCCTGCACGCCTTCGCGTGTCACGTATCTCTTAAAAAAGGAAGCTTGTGAGGTTTGTTCAAACATCAAACCGCAAGTTCTTCCAACGAGTTCTTCGAGCATGCCTTCGCATGTGACGAATCTCACAGAAAAGGAAGCTCGTTTGGCTTGTTCAAACACCAAACCACGAGTTCTTCCAACAAAATTGTTTGAGCATGCCTTTGCATGTCACGAACGTAAAGATTCAACCAGCGTGAAATACATGAAAGATCACGGTATCACGGTGTCACCTTTCAGTTTGCAAGAGTAGATGGGGTGCCAGATTTTTTTGATCGGTACAGAGAAGGACACAACAAATCTGGTTTCACACTGGATCATATTTGTTTCCCAAACAGACTCAGTTCACATCCGGAGCTTTGATCGTCATCTCAGCATTCAGCCTCGCATATTCACCCTTGCATGTCCCATAAACCCGAGCAGTTGATATTGGTGTCCATCGACGTCAACAAACAACCAAAATATACCAAAATAAAAGTCCTGTGAAGTCTTTACAAAAAAAAATAGATAAAGAAATGACAAAGAAAGGATACCTGATGCGCTGTTCTACCTGATGCCAGTTTGCGTGAAACAGATTCATCTTTGGGACATTTTGGGACCATGTTCGAGCTTTGGAACCCTGGTAGAGTTCTAGAGGCAAGAACTTGCAAAAGAAAATCGGCGTCAGTGAAGCCTCTTGGCTCGAAACTCTTTCAACGAATTAATCATTCCTGTTGCATTACCTGGTTTTGAACTATTCTAAATTTTCCGCGGCGATTGGAACCGCGCAGACAGACCCTTGAGAGGTGGCTGTTTTCGACTGATCAAATTCAGATTGATTGAGCTCAACTGGACAGTCATGTACCAGCATGTATTTTGGCGGGTTGATGTGGGTTGTATCAGAGCGTGACAGCTCCCAGCTCCAGCGTCCCGGTCTTCACCTTCGCTGAAGCAAGATGATTCGCTTGGCATCCACAGCATCTTCCAGCTCGGTGGGATCAGCATCCAAGCCCTCGGCGTCAAAGTGACGCATCGCACCATCGCACCATGATGAAAAGTGATGAAAAGTGAAAAAACTTGGAAAAGTGGGGGTGGGGTCTTCATGATGTGTCTGGGAGTGCAGTCCAAAAACTACCTGGTCAGAGCTGAACAAAAGTCGGATTTCACACTTTCCAACAGGTATTCTTACACCACAGCAAGCAAAGTCCTGCCCATTACCATGGCTGTGGTCTCTTGGTCAATACAACCACAACCCAATCCTACAGCCATGCATCCTATTGCCATTGGCACAACCGCAGGTATTAGGAATAGGATCCCTTTTCTGGCAACACTCGCACGTGGCCTGAAAGAAATCATTCAGGTTTTCCAAATGCTGCCTCAACCCATCAGGCCGAGGATACTGCTCTTTGGGAGACTGTGGGTGTTCGTTCCATTCATTCCCCCCACAACGCGGACTGTGCCGGAAGCAAAAAGCAACTGTTAGGCTGTTAGGCTTTGTCCGTTCCCAACTGACAATTATATAAAGGAGGGGAGATAAGATTGATAGAGATAGGCCAAATAGAAATAAGTTTGACGGAGATATGTATGAGGTAAGATTGACCATCAAACACAAAGATTTACCCAGTCCGTTTCGCCGGAAACTAGAGATGCGGCACTTTGGAGATTGTAGTGGTCCGGAAGACTGAACACAAGGCTTGGGCATACGGTTGCCAAAATGAGAGTTTCTGGAACAGAGTTGTACCAAGCAAGATCTGTAGGGTGGCAAAAAAAACAAGTGGAACAGAATCAAGAGCACGACCGCAATTTATGCACCAACAAGGGATGCTTGACCTGGGAAATGTCTGAGACCTGAGCAGCTCCATGTCTTGATTTCCGCTTCACTCGTTCCTTGGGCTCTGGACTCGTGGGTCAAGCGGTTGGGCTCTCTCGATATCTCCTGCAAACTGCGAAGATCTGCAGCATCCAACAGTGACCACTGCACAAACAAAATGCGGAAAAATACATCAAGTTCCAACAGGTTCCGACATCAAAAAAACTCCAAATTCTCAGCTCTGATGGCACTGACATTGCTGACACTCACAGCATGCCCACGACTAGGGCTTCCTCTGAGCAGATAGAAGTGAAGGACGAGCGAGAAGCAACACCTTCAAGCCACGGCAGCCACAGAGTTTGGTGGATGAGAATCGGGAGCCAAAGGATGGCATTTGGTTACCTAGAGATTCGAGAGGATACTTGCTAAGCTACATCATCAACTTATATCAAGTTGTCTAATTTCCAACCACGCTACATGCCTTCTTCATTGTTGTCCCAAGCCATTCTCAGGAAGAACTAGATTAAACAACCTCCCAATGCCGCAAAGAACACCCTCTCATGACACTTTGATTCACGGTGCTGTCGCTGTCTGTTCTTCACCGTCTGCGTCGTCAATTGATTGAATCTCTCAATCTACCTTCCTAATATTACCTACGTCGGAACAACACCAGGTCACTAAGTGTCTCGTGCAAACTTCCATCATATCCTCATGTACAGAACTGAACAAAAAGCAAAACAAAATGAGGCAACCACCACAGTTTGACGCTCCTTGCAGGTTCTCGATGTTAGCACATCAAGTACGTTAATGTGCAGACTGCCAATTCTTCAGATATGCAAACACTGACTCCTTGACCCATTGCACCTGATTGATCTTCATCAAATGCCGCCGTAGATATGGAGGAAAGGCCATAATCGGCATGGATTACCTTCACATGATCGAATGAACCGAATTCTTGATCTCCGCTGTCCTTTGCTTTCCTCGACATTCGAGAACTCAAGTCATTGGCAGCATTGGGAGGGAATCTGCAACCATCAGCATGTCTCACAATATCTCTGATCTGAAAACCACGATAGCTGTGCGACAGCTGTGCTGCTAAATATGTTGCTCTAGAAACGCGTTGCAGCGTTGCTACATCGAAAAATGAAGGCGATAAGGCTCAGGACACAGGGCTTCGACCAAAGTTCCATGACAGAAGATG